ATATACGAAGCCGAAATAACGACAGTGCATCCTGTCCTCCTATATATATATTTTTTTCGTTTTATGCCATTAAATTTAGTAACAGATAACTAAAAAAAGCAATAAAAAAATTAACAAAAAAATATTTCAATGATTTTTCTTTAAATGAACCAAAAAATGTCCGCGACAGTTGTATAACATCCATGTCGGTAACTCGAAAGAACGTCGGGACGCGAACGACGTCATGGGTAACAACTATAACTAAAAAGCTAAGGATGTTGTTTGCAAAATACATGTGTATACTACGCGGACAAAGTCACGAGCAGCTAGAATTATAATATAAAAGCTAAAGGGGAACCTTATTTTATTAACAATTTTAATTATTGTTAACACTGAAACGAAAACGGCTCTATAGATTTTGTTGAGAACAAATATTTATGTTTCAAATTGCATAAGGACTATAGTATATTGAACTATAAGCGATATCATGCAAAAAGGCAACCTCCCATCGACAACAAGAAACCCGATCAGGCTTAATTTTCTCTTACGAATATTCACGAGACGTAGAATATTCTTCGCGAGTCTTCTAGTCGTTCCTGAAAATGTCATGGTTTTACATCAGATAGCAGGTATTTATTTATATTAAGTTCAGTATTAATTAAATATGTAGTTACGAATAATATATAATATTACTCGCGTTAATTATTTAGATTTGTATCTATTTACTTCCTGGTGTCCAATATTAGTTAGAAAATAATGTCTATAATTATACCAAAACTTACGAGAATATTGCTTTGTAGTGAATTCAATGACCATAACAGTCGCGCTAAGCGTTTGATGATAAAACTTTTCTGCGCACACGCATAGCATTATTTCCATAACGAGCGCTTTGATTATCACTAAAATGGTTGGGACTAAGGAAATGGAAGACATTTCAATTTTATAGTTCATAAGCTGAAATATAAAAAAATGGTTAGTCATCAGTAGTAAGTAAACGTTGATTTAGAATAAAAGCGGGACTGTATTCCTTGAGCATCAGCAAATGGTGCTATCGGTCCTGGCTTTCCCACGAGTTTCTTCCACCTTATTTTTTCAACTTATTTTTTGCACTTCTTACTTACTTAATACTTCACTTACTATAAAAGGCGTGAATAAAATACCTCATGTTTCGACTCCAACACCATTTCAACATACATAAGTGACTGTGAAAACATTGTTATTAGATATATGAGTATCTGAAAGAAAGAAAAATTTAACAACTCATTAAGAAAGACTACTTCAAGATAAACGAAATGGTCGAAAATTATTACCGGCCATTTACAAAGCTTCTCTACTAAAACTTTAACATATAAAATATTATCAAACAATTGAAGCATTTCATAATTTAATCCCATACATCTATTATTTAATATGCCTCTACTTTTCATTACAATATTATTCCATATATTGACTTTAAAAGAAAGAAAAAATAAGATATACGACACATAAATCATTTCGCAGTCAAACAAAACGGTTGACAAGAAAAACATGCTCCTACTGATTGTCCACGTTGGGTCCATGAAATATTTTATGAGCAAAAATATGAGGAAACACATTGAAATAAAGGCGTGAGAAAGCCACACTAGATTCTCTAACTTCCTTTTGTCAGCTGCTCTCGGCAATCGTTTGTCAATCTCGTGAAGTCTCAATATAACTTCAACGTGAAAAATACTATACCAATTGTTGAGGAAGCACATCGTAAAAAAATGTACACAAATTTGAGTACAAGTAAGCACTTGAAAGATGAAAAAAAAAGGATATGCTGTTTTAAAAATCTTTATAAAATCATGAACGATTATTATAAAAGAACCAAAGACCACGAGCGATCCGACAAAAGAATACATGGCGTCGCGTTTATTGTTAGGAGTTATAAAACCGTTTTGGATGTGAAACTTCTTCGAGTTGACGATGATGACACCGATTTCTGGTAAAGGATAGAGTAAGTTACGAAAATCACTATTCAGATAATTGTCAAGCAAATCTTCGTTAAAGCGGATACGACTCATGTTGAATTCATAAAATAACTGTATAGTGATGTGCCTTAGTGCAAGTAAACTGACAGTATTATCGTGTGATGCATTATCGATTATTACCATTCCATTAGATAGATTAAAAAGCTTCTTTGTGAGTATTGTCTGTTGCTTAACCTAGTTGTACATATTAATTTAAAATACTTAAGGGTTTATAACGAGGGTCGTAAACATTAATTTCTAAACATGAAATATATAAAAGAAAATTTAAGGTTCTAATTAATTTGGACTTGCGATAATGTAATAAGATAGATACCTAGCTCTAAAATGCTTTGTATGTAATTGCATCAATTGTGACATGTTCTGGGTTCCTGGGATAAGGTAAAATTATTTTTTTAGAGTACAGAGATTTACACTAACTAATAAGGCCCGATTCTGAGAGAAAACAACGGGATTTACGCATCGTTTCGATTATTTAGTTACAATATTATCTTTAATATTGATTGATTCTAGAGAATGCAAATGAAATTCTTCAATTTTATTAAGTCCCTGCCTTGAGTTAATACTTGTCAATTTGATGGATTACTCGTCATTAGTTAAGTAATTGTATTATGTATATTGTAATTGAACATATGTATGCAACCTCTTTCTATAAATAATAAAAACTTGTATATTAATCTAACTAGTTAGGGCCCTTGGTTGTGTCTGATCAAGCGTTGGTTTCAATCAATAATATACAACACCTTGACAGATCCGTTTCAGGATTTCAGATTTAGACCCACCACACATTTCCAGTGCAGATTTGTGGGCTGTAACGACTACTACCACTAAATTACCGCCAGTTTAAACTTTGAGACAGATGTTACAAATCTTTCATTGCCACATTAATAGCACTGCTTTTTTGAGAAAAATAAGATTTTTTTTGTGCTGGTGAAAAAATCGTATTTTGTGCATTTGTTTCTGAGATTTCAAAGTAGCACATTGACAGATTGCTCAGTTCATCTTCGTTTTATTAGGTTTATAATTTGCTTGACTGTAATGTTTTAAATGTTTCCGTTCCTTATTGCATCAGTTTCTTCTTTCTTGCATAAATATAATACAAACATGATGCAACAAGTTTAAAGACCTATTTGTAAAATTCCAATCACCGGATACGATGTAAATAGTATAGATTATTGCCAATTTATTTTAGGATCGATGTGAAATTGATAAAAGCATTTCAGTTGATTACTATCAATATTATGATTAAATGTTTCCTTTACAAATATTATCAAGGTAGACATATTTACTAATCCTTCTTCCACCATACCATCAAAAAGTACATCTATAGTCAAAGAACTTATCTAATTACAACATTTATTGTTAAATACTGTCTATAGTTTACGCGAGTAGTACACATTTAAATAAAACACTTTAACGGTTTAAAACGCGATATATTAGTTAAACTTATTTGAAAATGATTTTTTAACTTCGGCCCGACGTTTCGGATGCTTTGCAGCAGCCGTGGTCACGGGGAGAGTCTCCCCGTGACCACGGCTGCTGCAAAGCATCCGAAACGTCGGGCCGAAGTTAAAAAATCATTTTCAAATAAGTTTAACTAATATATCGCGTTTTAAACCGTTAAAGTGTTTTATTTAAACATTTATTGTTGATACAATAATATTGGTATTAGGAAAGATTGTCGTGCTGTTGTGCATGGGGTAGTACAGATCAATTTTATTTACACTTCCTGACAACTCTTTTGTGCCTTTTTAGACCGGAAGAATCGAACCAAGGACCTTTAGTGATTAAGAGCGTAATTGAGGTACAAAGCAGACTAATTTTGAGACTAGGAACTACCCATGCTTTTTAATAATAAAAGTGGATGTAACCATTATTTATTCAAGGTATTAATTATACAGGACCGGTCGAACAAAACTACTTCAGTTATAATTACAATTCATTCCGAATGGTACAGTGTCAATATGTCTCTGGACAACAACGAGTTTTTATCCAATTACATCAGTAATGATCTTCAATCCGCCCTCCGTCCTATGCATTGCGTTGAAAAAGCATTCTTACTTTCATCTTACACCGTCAAGAACAACTTCATTAACCGCCCAAATTTCATTTATCACATCTTCTCGTTCATCCTCGTATCTTTATTCACGTCCTTACAAATCTACTTCAATGTCGTAAAAGTAAACTGGGAATTGTTTTACCTCCTCATCACGAACGTGTGTATCAACTCTTTCTTGATGGTCACTGTTCTAATCAATAACATCTATTTCGGGAAGACCTATGTCCTCGTTATAATGAGGATCCAGAAAATTTCCGACTTGCTCCCGAACTCGAACGCCCATGTGAAAAAGTATATTATGTGGAATTGGATTCAATTCTTTGGTTCACTATTGGTTTTTTCCGTTTTTATCATAGCTTATACTTATTCCACACGAAAGTACGCTAGTCTTAGCTCTATTCTCTATTTGATATCAACGATGTATTCTGATGTGAATATGTATAGTTCAGTGCGTATTTTAAAATTGATCAATGTCTTCACGAAGTCTTGGTATCAGCACCTAGAGATTAATAGAGGTATTAAATCGAACGATAAAGCTTTCTTCAAATCAATGTACGCAACTTATATTGAAATTTTACGAGCGTATGACGGGTTCAAACGAATATTTCAGATGCCGGTAAGCAGGTTTACACTCATCATTTCTCATCCTAGTATACAAGAGTGCGATATCCCGCGAAAAGTACAGAGAATTACAACTACTTATCTTCTTTTTTGTAGATTTTCTTACAAGTGACCGATGCTTTCATAAGAACTTTAATCTACATTGAAATATTTATCGAGATTGAAAGCTTTGAAAGAAACGAATTATTTCGGGTAAGTGGTGCTTAGGAAAATATATTATAACCAATAGTTTCTCCTTAAAAATGTTTAATATACTTTTTATTATCAAGGAAATGATTACGTCGTTCCAAATATTTTTTGTGTCGTGGATAATGAAAAACATTATTAATATCATGCTGTTAGTAAAAGAATGTGAAACTACCTACACCAATGTACTAGAAATCGACAGAGAAAGCATTAGTAGATTAGCCCGGGAATTAAGCCTTGGTATGTATCTCAGACCTTCTGCTTCTAAGTTTAATGTCGGTACTCTTTAAAGGCAAACAGCTTGCACTGGAGCATCTTAGTATAATCTAGTTTCCTCAGTCTTTAAACATGGGCTTTCTTGCGCTTCATGCAAATCTATGCATAGAGTATAACTATTGAGAAATATTAATAATTCTAAATGTAAGTCTTTACTTCCATCAGTTTTTACTAAAAGTGTTTTATATCCTCAATCTACTTACCTTTCTTTAAACACATTTCTTTTCATACTTTTAAGTTTAAGTGTGTATTATTGTTTGTAATAATTATTTCATTTAAACTGTGATATTACATTCAGATTTAAATACATTTAAAATTATAAATTTCTATACTTTTCAGATGAGTCACGATTTTACAAAAACGTGAAGCGCTTAAACCACGCAGAGTTCAAGAAGATGTCTGTATATGGTTTATTTACTATGGACGCTGGTCTTCTAGTCGGCTTGATCCAAATGATAACCACATATGTCATTGTACTATTACAGTTTGCATTAAGTGATCAAACGACCAAAAAAACGACCCTATCAGAATAAATTGCTCACTAGTTGGAAAAAATAATATTACTAGTTTAATTTTTAGGTAATTGTGCAAAGTATTAAATAAAAAAAGTACTACGACAGAAGGCAAGTCACGTAAACACTACCAACTATATGTCATGTAACAATGTGTAGCACATTTATAGGCATACGGGATTTTATAAATTCTTCGAAACAAAGATATATAAAATAGTATAACATTAACAACAAATTTCATACTAAACTAAAATTTAATTCTACATATTATTTTTAGTATTCTATTAACTTATTTTATGCTTTTTACAAATATTTTTTTTTCTACACTATCAGAAGAATAGAAATGACTACCAGTTATGTAAAAGTAATAACAAAATTACAATAAAATACTGTCTATAGTTTACGCGAGTAGTACACATTTAAATAAAACACTTTAACGGTTTAAAACGCGATATATTAGTTAAACTTATTTGAAAATGATTTTTAACTTCGGCCCGACGTCTCCCCGTGACCACGGCTGCTGCAAAGCATCCGAAACGTCGGGCCGAAGTTAAAAATCATTTTCAAATAAGTTTAACTAATATATCGCGTTTTAAACCGTTAAAGTGTTTTATTTAAAATTACAATAACTAGTTTGGCGTTAAAAGAGATTTCGAATAGAACAGTTTTAGACGATTCAAAACCCGAACAAAAACATGTTTATGAAACGTATTTTTGCCTTTATAGCCAATTCTGAGAATAATATGCTTAAAAGCTGAGTTTTGAGCCATTAAAAAGTATATTAATTGCCTGTCGTAATCATGATGTTTATAAAAGTGCATTTTACTCTAAGCTAAACAATAAGTTTAAAAACTTCAGCTTATAAAACCGACATAAAAATTCTCATAGTCACTTCTATTCATATTAGTATCACCTATATTATACTCTGTAGCTACATTTTATCTTAGTGCTTAATTAAAGCATTCTAACACCTAGAAATTACTTCCTTCTGTAACTCAAATTCTTTTTTCTCCTTCTTAGTCTTTAAGTCTTCATATATATCTTCTAACGGCCGACTTTTCGTCTCTGGTACCACGATATAGATGTATATTGCCATAAAGATACAGAAGGAACCAAACACATAGAACGCTACTTGTACTCCAATAGCAGCTGCTAGAATCTTGAAGAAGAATACTTGAAAGAAATCGAGAACTGATGCCATTCCCATGGTTATCGCTAGGACAGTTCCACGGTACTGAAATGAGAATGATATTATTAGATTTATCCATTTGTTTTTAAGCCGCAGTTGTACGGGATAGATTATTTTATAAATTGGCTCTAAATTTGAGATTTTGTCTGATTGTAAAAGTTTAATGTCATGATTATTTTTTTAATCTTATTGTGTGAATTGCAGTATGCCGAGAAACAAAGATACTCCATATAACAGTATGTACAAAAACGGTATTAATCGTTCGTATCTCTTTATACTCTCTTATTTAGTCCCTCTTAGTATTTTTCTAAGATTAGATTTTTAAGTTAAGGATTTTCCCTAATAAGTAGTAAATTATATTTGTAAAAGACATTATTTACCTTGAAGGAGAATATTTCTCCTATAAGAACGGTTCCAAGAGGTAAAGTGCCAGCAGAGTCGCAGAAAATGCAAATGCACAATGTAATAATTGGTATCCAAGATGGAGCATGAATATCGTACTGCTTAAGTAAGAACCAACTTGCGAGTGTGTACATACTGATTCCAGATACCACACACGTGATTACCAGTAGAGGCTGCAAAAAAATGATAAAATTTCACAAAATTGACTATGTTAGCGCAGTACAGCTAGCCAAAAGTGTTTGACGTATCTGAAATTTCAATATTGATTTAATGAGTGAACTGTAATTTTATTCTAAATGTCTTGTGTCTCAAGATCTTACTCAGCTATTGGGTCCGAATTATAGAACATGGGATAAGGCAGTTAGGTTATAACAAAAGTAAATCAATATTTTTAAGAGACAATAACCAACTTACACGTCTCCCGGATTTTTCCACAACATTAGACGCAATAATCGAGGCAAAACACTGAACTGCACCAAGTACCATTGCCTGTTGGTTTGGATTGAGGAGTATTTTGGTACCTTCTGACGCTTTAAGGAATATATCTCCAGCGAAGTTGCTGACTGGTATAGCCCCACACGCATCTCGAGCCAAAGTGGCCATTAAAGCTATTTGAAATGCTCTAAATAGGATTTTGTGTGTAACTGTAAAAAAAAAGTTAGTGTGTAAGTTGTAGCTACTTCTATTACTGTTATCAAAGTGGGTATACTTTGCTTACAAATAGTTCTTATAAGGTTCTCATCATTCATTACATCATCATTTTTCTGTTCAGTCTTGATTGCTTCTATTTCTTGTTTTATTGCATCATCAACTTTGGTTTTTCGGCGAAGCCAAAGTAATACTTTCTCTGCATCCTATAAAATATATTTTTTTTGAATATTCGCTACTATCTAAAATCATGCTCAATCTTCTTTTCATGTGTTTAATTACCTCAATTTTGCCAATTTGTATTAAGTAGGAGGGTGATTCTGGCATCGATAAAAAGAGTAGAAAGCTGACTACAGGCACAGAAAGGCAGACTAGGAGGATTGTCCTATAACTCAGCATATCTCCTATGATGTAAAGGAATAAGCTTCCTCCTGTGTAGAATACCGATGTCTGGAAAAAAAGGGTAGTAATCATTGGAAGGTAATTATTTGGTCTCAAAAGGATGAATACTTTACAAGGAAACATGCTCCATGTGATCATAAAGCAAATTGGGACTCATATGTTGCCTTAAAAAATCATTTTCTTTTTCTCCATCTCCTTATAATTCATAGCTTTATAAAAGCTACAACTTGGTGGTGTCACACGATAATATTCTTAAAACAAACTTTACTTTTTCCAGTCATTCTAGTAATTCTTACTACACTATACGTTAAGACGTGACTAAATTATACCAGTTTTACGCTACAGATCATATGTATTTTATGAGGTATTACTTCACGCACGAACGAGTTCCTATTGTGAATAGTTAGGTGACGCATGGAATAAACAAATAACTTCACATTTAATACTAAATTTTGTTTTTCTATGTACCTCTAATTTTCGTTATGTTAAAAGTAATTAATAGTTATTTTTAGGTTATCTTAAGTAAGATCGCTTACATGCCTTAATTTATTAGCAATACTATGCTCATATTAGACAAACTGAGCTCCTCTATCATATTAACTGTCAATTATAAACTTCAACAATATCTGAACCCTATATCTAAATAAATATAAAAGAGTAGATAAAGGTACGATAGATAGTAAACATCCTGATGTTAAATATAAAACGGTTGAAGAAGTAATTTGAATATCAAAACTGGTTAGATAACAATGTAATGTTAACAAATGAAGCGTTTAATTCAGAACTGAAAATAAGAGAAACCATTAATTTATAAAATTGTGCTCCATTTTAGGTTTAGTATATTACCGGAAGTCAATATAAAGTTTTTTCTATAATTAATTTTAGAAACGTGGAGCGTTATAAGTAGTCGCCGTCGGGTCTACCTGGACTACCTGTGAAGTGTGAATTTTTAAATGTCCAAAGTCAAAATTGACCCAGAGCAACTGATAAGTATATGACATTAAGTATTTTTTTTTTATAATGCCCTTAGTGATTTGCGAACTATGAACGACGGGTTCTTCCATTTCTTCGTCAGAAGGGACCTGGGTTAAATATTTTGAATTTCGACTAATTGCTTTCCTTAGTTACTTATTATTAATTAATATTAAATCTCGGGTTGTGTAGTTTTATTTTCTAAAAGTAGCCGGTAAATGACTTTATTGCAGTATTGAAAATATATGGGTTTAAATAAAACACTTTAACGGTTTAAAACGCGATATATTAGTTAAACTTATTTGAAAATGATTTTTTTCGATTTTTTTTAAAACGTCGGGCCGAAGTTAAAAATCATTTTCAAATAAGTTTAACTAATATATCGCGTTTTAAACCGTTAAAGTGTTTTATTTAAATGTGTACTACTCGCGTAAACTATAGACAGTATTTAATATATGGGTTCTATTTTGGCGTCACCGAGACATTTTATCTTCAATACAAATCCCATATTTGTCTGTCATTCTATGTCATAAAGAAGTACCACTTTGCTATTAATGTCAACCACATGACATGGACTAAAGCCTAATGAATTCGTTGCGTCAGATGTATGAAAAGACAAAGGATTAATGACCCATAAAATGACTCCATCTGTCACCATGAATAAACTGCATTGGATACACCGATTTTATGTTTTGTTCCGGATAATTTAAATTACTATATTTTTTTCACTTCTTGCGTAAATGTCGTTTACATTGTAAATATGGAAAATTACTAAGCCATAGCTATGTATAGTGCCAAGAATGAGTGCCGTTTGGTTTTCATGATAGAGATGACGAGCAAAAGTATTTTTATAAATTGGACACGTCTCTGTCCATTGGAAAATGGTGACACAGATAGGATTGGAAGCGACGATTGCCATCGCACCGTTGCTACCTTCATATTAGGTCTACTGGCCTTTATTGTGAACCTTTCAATATATATGACACCGATAGCCAAATAGATATTTTTTATGATAGAGGTGGACAGACAAGCAAAAGATTCACTTGACAAAAGGTGAAATATCCCAACCATATAACATTTGTACATAATACCTATTTAGACTTTGGTTATTCGAAAATCCACAGACTGAATCCGAAACGCGAACTTTACGGCTTTTTCCTTCAGAGACGTGACCTAGACGAAGTTTTCGATTTACATACACATAGAAAATCTACATTTCCAGACGTAGGCCAACATGTTCCAGAAAAATCGAAATAGAAATATAATCGATTAGAAAAAAGTTGGACCCGATTGAAATCAACCCTACAACTTGTTAACGAGACTCATAACTTGTACGCTAGTTACATTAGGTCTCCCAGTGACCACGGCTGCTACAAAGCATTTAAAACGTCGGGCCGTAGTTAAAATAATTTGTAAATAAGTTTGACTATTACACTTTGCGTTTTAAACCATTAAAAGTGTTTTATTTGAATCATCAAAATTGTGTCATTCATTTTATAGTTATGTTATAGTCATTAATTGACTTACCCAACATCCTAGCTGTCCTCGAATGCGGCTCTCACTTATTTCCTTTATATACACGGGACAAGTGACGAAGCTTCCCGCCATCAGAACACCAACCATGCACCGAGCTATTATGAACGCCCAAAACTCGGTCGAGAAAAGTTTCAGGATCCATATGGTCTAAAAAATACACAAACAGGTTAATGTGGAAGTGGCAATATAATGTATTTGGGTAGTTGAGAAGAACGATTTATATAATTAAAAAACTCTCGAGAAGGGCGGGGCTGTTCTAACCAATTTAACTACGGTAGCAAATACAATGCTCCAACTACAATGAATTGTACTAATTTTACATACTATGTGAGGCTATAAAATAGTTTATATCACTTTAATTAAATGTTAAAATTTTTTTTAATTAAAATACTGCATTATCATTGATTTATTGAATACTATGAAATTTTAAGCTTGTGTAAACAAATTCATTGTATTAGGAACAAGTGAATGCAGATTGTCTTTCAACGTAGCAATATTACACCTATGTAAACAATATTCATATTGATAAAATTATTTTATTTCTCTCTGTATAATTCGTATTATATTCTTTAAGAAAAACTTTCACGTATAACTTAATGTGACCAGAGACATTAAAAAGTTTGTTTGCTGAGAACACTTGTCTACCTCTGGTACCTTTGTATAAGGTTATGTTTTAATTTAGTAGATTACCTTCATTAGTTTCCCTATCCGACCGAAAATGTTCTTCCTTGTATTCAACCCAGGTTAATTATTTAATTATTATTACGTATTGTAATTCCGCACTTTAAAGTAAAATATTGTAACTTTTAATATATAATAATATCCATCTTTTCACTATCATGCTGAAATAATATGACTGAAAATGAGTTTATGACGAAAAAGTTTTTATAATAATATCTTTTGATAATACGAATATATATGTGTGTGTATATTCAATTTTACCTGCCCGATATTTGATTTAATTAACGAAGCATTGTTACATATGTGTTGAATTTTCATTGAAAATTATTTTTCGCATTCCTTTTTGTATCGAAACAGATTTTTAGCAGAATCAAGAAGTGATAAAATGGAGCATCACTGATTGGATTTACGTGTTTTAACCCTCTCGTGTGTGGCGTACTTAAGCCCATTTTACAAAGACCTTCTCTTTTGAAAAGAATACATACTTTAGACTATGTATAGTATATTACGTTTATACGCGTCACGGAATATTTTAGAATTACGAAGAATTTGTGAAAATTGAAAAGTTAATTACCTGAAAACCATTTAAATATGTCACGTGTTATCGAGATCTTTACAATATGTACCCTAGAAAGTACGCGAACTGAATACTTAAATAAAACAATTACAAAATGTTTGTATGTTTATCAATGAAAAAGGAAAAAATTGAACAATGTAATTTACGCGAATAGTGCAAATTTTAATCAAAGTAATCAAAGATTAGTATTAAGTTAACATATTTATAAATTAGTTTTAATTACGGCCCGACGTTATGGAGGCTTTGCAGCAAGCGTGGTCACGAAGAGAAATAATTTGTAAATAAGTTTAACTAATTAATTTCGCGTTTTAACTGTCAAAAGTGATTAATTTTTAGAAAACGAGCTTTAGTGTCGAAAATAGGAAGTGAAAATATTTTTTCTTTAAGTCAAAGGTTCGACAGACAAGCTGGGGGTTTGTAAAAAAAGTGTAAGACGATAATGAAATGAAAATACCTGAAACCAAATCCTAATTTACTGTGGTTTGAATTAATTTTCAAGAGGCAAAATGAAGTAATGTGCTCTTAAAACTTCGAAAATTCATTTATCATTTTCATGAGAACAGCAGTCGATATTACCTCATCCGACAAGAACAGGTGTTTCTTATTGTAATTGCGTAGAAGTTTGAACGCGGAAACAAGCCTTTCGTTCATTTTAATATACTTAACATCTAGACAATATATAAAGCAGAAGAGTTTGTTTGTGTGTTTGTTGCTTTGAACGCGCTAATCTCAGAAACTACTGGTTCGAATTGAATTTTTTTTTTGAATTAGAAATAATATCGAGGAATGCTATTATTATAGGCTATAAGACATTGCGCTGTGTGTGACAAACAGGTAATAACAAGATACAAAATACGTATTAGAGAATGATTCTTCTTCCAATTATCAAAAATGTCCGCGACAGTATATTATGTCTATCTCTTAAGATGAGCTCGCAAGAACGACGGGTCGCAAGCGACGGGACGCGTCCGATGTAGATAACAGTTTGCAAAAACAACTTTGCCCAAAATAACTATTATACGCGGACGAAGTCGCTGACTCAGCTAGTATAGTTATAAAATGATTGTCTACCGACATTGTAATACCATGGAGAATAATACAATGAACCTAATACTTACACAACCCAGGGCTGACGTGAAGAGTAAGCAGATTTTTCTCCCATACTTGTCACCCATGTATGCCAAGATATAGTAGAATGGTATACCAGCTAGATATGGTACAGATGCCATCCAGGATATCTGAGGAATATATAGAAGACACTTTTAACGGTTTTTTTTATTATAATAGAGAAGGCCAGGCAAGCAAGGGGTTCACTCGATGGAAGGTGGATTCAGCCAGCCATATAACATTTATGCATGATCTGCTGTCGACCTATGTTGGCTATATATACGGAATCCACAGATCCAAATCGCGATTAATCTTCTCGGCTTTTTCATCTGTGATTCGTGAACTGGACGGAATTTCGATATTCCACCCATAACATCCAGATTTCCAGAGGAAGTCCAACATGTTAATACAAAATTAAAAATTGTTTAAAATATGTTGGACTCGGTGGAGATGGGACTCGCGTTCCGTTGATTCTGATAATCAATTAATCAAGCCATACAATCAAGAACAAAATTTATCCAGGATGTTTATATGTTTGATATGACGTATGCTTAGCAGTAATCGAACCCGTTGTGATTAACAAACAATTTTATCTCTTTAACTTATACAAATTACAATTTCAAATTCTAGTAGCAGATTCCGATAGTAATGGTGTTTCAGCCAAACACATACACAATAATTTATGATCCAATTTGTGTAGAGTGGCAACATTATCTGACAACATTGCACACTAAGAAACATGATCCCCTTTTTTTCTGAGCAGTCGATCAAACTAACCTCAACGTCGGTCAATGGTTCGTCGCGAGGCGAGTCTTCTGATTGTAAGAGGAGGGACATTGGTGACATCCATCCGAGGCAGTTTCCATAATTGAAGACTGGCAGACATACTGGCAAAAAGAATTGAATTTTTAGTACTTAAGTTTGATGGATTAAAGCTATTTTAACAGTATAGAGGATTTTGTACCAACTTGCGGCTTACCCATTTTTAATAAACAAAAAAGTGATGTAAAATGTAGGTAGCATTGTATGCCAATAATCAACGGGTCGTGGGTTGGATCGCTACTTGTTCCAACATTATTCTAATCAATTTATAATTTTCCTAAAATAGTTTGGACATCTGGCAATCTGGATATTAATTGGGTGGCAGAAATATCGAAATTCCGCCCTGGTTAACCACAGATAAAAAAGCCTTCAGGTTTAATTACGTTTCGGTTATAGTCTGTTGCTTTCTGGATAGCCAAAGGCATAATAGGTCGACAGGTTATCTTGTTTAGATTAACATCTAACTTATAACTAACATATGACTATGGCTATTTCACCCTTCATCAATGGAACGCTACGCTTATCTGTTTTCTTCTATCATAAAAGCCTTTTTGAGCTAGATTAGTTCGTTGACCGTGTTTTTGATAGGTACTTAGAAACCTATCAACACAGATTTGGTTACACTTTTAACTTTTACTTAACTTTACTGGTTTGTAGGCATTAGGCATGCTAAGTAAAAAAACCCGTAATATAACAAAAAAGAGTGTCGTCAAACACTTGAAAATGTTTAATTATAATACGAAGTAAATTACTTCAATAATTATAATTATTTAGTTGTACATACTTAATGTTATATTTTTAGATAATGCTTTATTTTTTGCTACAGTGAATTTCTAGATAGTTCTTAGCTCAACACAATTTTTTTAATAAAAAAAATGTATATCACACTATATTTTGTACAAAAAGTATGTAAGTGTGGTGGCTCCCCTAACATTTTTCACAAAATAAAAATGTTAGGGGTGGAAAACCCTTATAGTTTAGGGATATAAAAAAAATGAAAATATCCAATTCCCAGACCTACTGAATGTCCATATAAAATTTCATAAAAATCTGTCGAGCCGTTTTGTGGGAGTGTGACTAACACTGTAATGTAAAAAATATAATATATATTAGATAGATACTCACTCATAAGCACACACAGTATTTGATTGAGATTCCTTGGGTCGAATAAAAAAAACGACTCCATTTTCTCTTAACGTAAGCCCTAGTCGATACACACCTCCTAACTGACTATATGTTCCGTGTACATCATATTAACACTGACGATATGCAAATTTTTCATGTAGTTTTCATTTATTATATGTAAGCCTAACTTGAATTAGTTTCATTGTCTAGGATCGCTCTTCACGGTAGATTTGACTTTACGTTTTATAAATAGCCTGTGTATTAAAGTTAATTAAGAGTTATTATTGACGATAAATTCGTTTATTAAATATATCAGCGATTACGAAACGCTTGCGCAGTTCAGTTATTGATTAATAGAGTTTTGTTCTTTGGGATATGTTTATATGCTTTTATTTAGCTCAACCCGTACGGAATTTATTTATTTGGGTCAAAATTAGACATTTTCTATTTAGACCTTCCCGTTGTCAGATTGATCTGAAATTTGGTACACACATTTAATTTAGATGACAATACAATATAATAAAACCAATAATATTATAAATCCAAGATGGCCGCCGAAACAAAATGGCGAATAACATATTTTTCCTTAACCCCCTCAATATGAGTATCAAATGAGAGGGCTACACTAAATACTGTCTATAGTTTACGCGAATAGTACACATTTAAATAAAACACTTTAACGGTTTAAAACGCGATATATTAGTTAAACTTATTTGAAAATGATTTTTAACTTCGGCCCGACGTTTCGGATGCTTTGCAGCAGCCGTGATGTTTAATTTAAAGGGCTACACTAGTAAAACACCTTGATTATGTCAAAATCATTATTTTTTGTAGTTTTCAGTGCACAAAAAATAAAACAGTTTCTCTTAAAAGATTTTTTACCGATTTTTATTTGTTTTTAAATGGGCAATTCTAGCAATTTGAATCTATAAACATGATTATCAAAAATAATAAACCTAGTAGCAATGAAATGGTGCCTGAATAACAAACATACATTACTATTAACTAAATACATTATCTAATATAAATATTTTTCGTAACTTAAATTCACGGAAATCGTTTTAATGATAGAGAAAGGCGAACGAGCATGGTGTTGACTGGATAGTATGTGATTATTATTTTCGTTTTGTGTAATCGGAACTCCACAGACGGTGGTTCGTGACCCGGACGGAATTTCTATAGGTTCTTGTACCATACCCATTAAATCTCCCAATATAATCACAAAACCAATAGGTACTAAATAATTACACCTCTCGCGGCATTTTAATGATCACGGATATAAAATTGCCGCATTTATTGCTTTGATTTCCCTCAGTATCGTGGTTATATAGATCAGAATCAAAATCATATTATAAAGAGAAAATAGATTTTCAGATGAGAAATTCATCTACCGTGCACTTTACGATCATTGATGAATTCTTGGCAATCACAAAACTTAAGAAAATGTTTGTCTTATTAATAGTTACACCTGTCGAGTTAATCATGAATAAAAACATGTCGCTTGTAAGTTTGATAATTATCAGAATAAATTAACTACATTTCTTCAACCATTCTGTAATGAATTCAACACACATTTTCTTGTCATGTTAAAGGTTTTAAAGCGCGTGATATTTCATTGTACAATTAATTTTCCTTAAATTAGGGGTGTATTTATAGTTTATCCCATTCGAAATTTGAAATTCGAATGGGATAAACTATAAATAAATTGATTTTGATATAGATAAGATCAAGCCAAGATAGGTCGACGATGCATTTTATTTGATACTAACTGTGACAGCGGCTCCGTCCGCGTAGAGTAGTAATTTTGGGCATCAAACTTTGTTTTTGCAAACCTCCTCCGCGTCATCGTTCTTACAACTTAGTCTTAAAAGATAAATAGTGTCCAGGATATTTTCTTAGATCGATTAGAAAGAAGTCATTTTTTCATGAATATTACTGCTGCGAAAACCGTTTAAAATACGAACCGTTTTCGCAGCGTACGCATCGGAAATCCACAATGATGAAAAATTTTTCCCGCTTTTCCGCATTTCCGCCGTTTCTTCGCTCCTATTAGTCACAGCGCGATCTTTTATAGCCTTTCTCGATAAATGCTCTGACCAACCCAAAAGGAATTGCTTATTCGAAGGCACTACTACTACTACTAGTCCTAAGATTAGCGCGTTAAAACAAACAAACTCTTTATATATTAGTCTAAATTGTGGAATTTTCCCTTTTTTCTCAACTTCCCAGACTTATCTGCCTTTTTATCTAATAAATATTACTAAGTGATATCAGAGTTTGCAAATTAGGAAGGTCTTTAAATCGTTTCGTTCTAAATAATAAAACATGCTATTTGCCTTGACAATGTATACGCAACTGTTACAACGTAGATTCATAATAAGAAGGTTGATTCGTATCATATGTTTAATATAAAAACGAACGTTAAATAATATATTTGGCCTTTAAAACTGTTTAAAGCCCACAACACAGTCTTCCTTAGTGCGGGGTCTAAGGACACTCTATCTCCACCATATTATATGTAGGTATATTAAAACACAATGAAGATTTTTTAATATGTAAAAAGATCGTTATGTATATTCCATAATGTACTTTAACAAAGTTTGTATCTATTTTATCACAATAATTAATGTATCTACCTCGAAGAAACAGAACATTCCGAATTGTCCTGGGTTCGCTAAGCGGGAATTGCGTTACTCTCTAGCTTTACTCAAGATAAAAAAATATCAAATGTTAATGTATCGATTCTTGTTGACATTTTTTTGCAGGCGTTTTTATTTAATATTTCAGGCGCTACATTTTGGTTACCTTTTTTTAATGAATCAAAAAGTTTACAATAATGTTAAGGTATCTAAAAGGTATTTTGGTAGGTTTCCCTTATCATCAAATAAATGAACGCACACGTGCTTGCGTGTGAGCTCATCAGAATTCACTTTTTCACGTCAAAATTATCTTTACCTAAGTCATAAAGAGTTAATATAATACACACTTATAAATACCTATACTAATATTATAAATGCGAAAGTAACTTTGTCTGTCTTTAACTCCGAAACTACTGAAGGAATTTAAATAAAATTTGGTACACAGTTATTTTAGAGCCTAAGAAAGGACATAGGCTAATACTACTTTATAATTCCAAAAAAAGGTTGATAGGGTTTGAAAAAGGGGATGAAGTTTGTATGGAAATTCGTGGTTTTTTGAAGCTAGAACAATGAAACTTTCTTCTTTGGCTTTTTGGGAATAGGCGTGGGAGTAGGAGTGAGAGTGGGAATGAGAATAGGAATAAGAGTAGGAGTTAGAGTAGGAGTGAAGTGAGTTGAGAGTGTTGCGTCAAAGTAGCACTTACAACATAGATAGGTAGCCTTAAATACGCCCTAACATTAATTAATAAACAGCCAAAATAATTAAAATGTCTACGTCAAGTCTATGCTAGTGTAATATATTTGTACATATTGTTCTACGTTTTATGATGGCTTATTATGCAAGAAGTAAATGTGTAATATTAATTTTAACAGAAATATAAAATCAAAAGATAAACAATACAAACAATGCAAAGCCAGCATATTCCAAATATTTAAAGCCAACATACGTCGATAGCGCATCTTGTTTAGATGTTACGTGGCTGGCTTATTTCACTTTCCATCAGGTGAACTCCAAGTTCTTTGTCCTCTTTTTTCATTAAAATAATCTAATATATCAAAAGTATAAAGTTAATAATCATATTAAAAATCTATCTATGTAAATAAATATAATTCTTAAAAGGGTGGATAATGACTTGTACCATAGTAAATACTATCAGTAATATAAGCAAGTTGTTGATCAGACTTCTGTGCCCTGCCCGACCGATTTTTTTTTACCCTGGGTTTAGAACCCAGGACCTCTCGCGCTCAACGCAATGCTAGACTATACGTTTAACCATTTGGCTACAGACGCGGAATTATTTTCTTATATACCTATGATTTACTGATCACGTTTTTGCGCTAAATATTAATTAGCCTCGTAGCGTTTATCTCACGAATGTTTTATGCTTGATAATTTTAAGGCTGTTCTACTTAAAGTACCTCAAAAATAAGTGTTAGATAATATCGACTTTACTTCGCCTTATTCGTATGCGCATTATTAACGTGACCTAGAAAGAATTCATTAAATTTTTATACTGTGCGTAGAAATTTATTATATATAGTCACGGTTTTAATTTCTAATCAAAGTTTGTCATAATATCTGATTTAAATATAACACTTTAACGGTTTAAAACGCGATATATATTAGTTGCATCCGAAACGTCGGGCCGTAATTCAAATAATTAGTAAACAAGTTGAACGAATATAAAAAATATGACCTTAAAAATGATACCTGTGGATTCAAAAAATAAATAAAAAAAGTTTCATTAAATCTTTGTATAATATAATCTACGTAACAATATTATTAACACTTAAACAACTTATATTTAAATCTATAATGAATTAATTAGCCCTTAAATCCTCGTGTATCTCTTGTAAAGTACGATTTCTGGTTTCCGGTATTCTAAAAATAACATATATAACAGTCAAGAGACACATCGCACCGAAGAAATAAAACGCCGAGAAAACGCCGATAGACTTGGCGAGCGGTTTGAAGAATAACAGTTGGAAGAAATCCGCCACAGATGCGATCGCCATCGCTGTTGCTAACACTGTACCTCTATACTGAAAAGAAATCATAATATAAATTAAAAATCTATTTGAATTGGACTCGATGACACGAGTTTGACTCGTACTCATAGTTCATAGAGCAGGAGTTTTACCGACCCACCCCACTCCTTTGGTAATTCTTGCAAAATTCAATACATTTACTATACTCGTTAGTATAAAAAGCTATCATTCCACCGCTTCTATATCAAGCGTCCACGTCCAGTTGCATGTTAAAGAGACACTTAGATACGGGACTCGAATAAAAACACGAAATATAAGTTTATCATTCATTTCAATAAATCATTTTGGACGGTTTTAAAGGCCTAAGATATTAGTATAACTACGCCTCCCCCCCCCCGTAACCATGGCTACTGCAAAGCCAAAGACATGCTGAGTTCTTCACGAAGATTTACTTCACGAAAATAAATATTATACAATGTAATGTACTAGTACCTTGTATATACATAAGCAAGTTATATCCGATATATAAGCATTCAAAATGTCGGGCCAAGTAACAGTGTTAGAAATGGTAAAAAGCGTTTTATTTCAATGCATACAATTCCTACCTTAAAAGAGAATATTTCACCGGTGATAACCACACTTATAGGCATAAGACCAGCAGCATCGCAGAAGATGCACACACACAACGTTAGAACTGGGATCCAAGCGGATACCATAATGTCATAGTCCCTGATGAGGAACCAGGTCGCCAGGATACACATACTCAGTCCAGAAATTAAACACGTGACCAGCATAAGCCACTGGAAATATGTATAGATAAATTAATGTGATTTTGAATTAAGTGACAGTGAACGATTAATCGACCAATGAATTAATAGGCAATTAAATAAAATGAAACTTAACTCTTGATTTGAATATAATTTATGCTAATAACAATCAATGGGTCGTGGGTTTGATCCCTGCCGGGTCCAACATTTTTCTAATAAATTTATAATTTTTCTCAAACATGTTGGATTTCGCCTGGAAATCAGGATAATAAATGGGTGGAAAGAATAACGAAATTTCTTCCGGGTCATCGTCTACAAATGAAAAAACCGTGAAGCTTAATCACGTTTCGACTTCAGTCTGTGGATTTCCGGATATCGAAAGCCAAAAAAGGATCGACAGCCCATCTTATTTAAAGGCTGGGGTTTTTAACCTACTATCAAGTGAACTCTACGTTTGTCTGTCCTCCTCTAGCATTAAAAAAATATATATACCTTCGCTGACCATTTACATAGTTAAAACTACCTTTCTTCCACATTTCTCCACTACATTGGAAGCTAGAAGAGATCCAGCCAATTGCACCGCACCAAGCATCATTGCCTGCTGGTTCGGGCTTAACACTAATCCAGTTCCTTCTTGGGAGGCTAAGTTAAATATGTCTCCAGCAAAATTTTGAACCGGTACAGCACCGCATACTTCCCTGGATACGGCTGCTATTAAGGCTATTTGGAAAGCTTTGAATAGCGTTTTGTCAGTTACTGAAACAGTAATATAAATTGAAACTTTTGAAGCATTACATGGATCTTTATTCTATCTTTTCTTATAAGATTTAGAAATGACGATGGTGACAGGGTAGGAGGTACATCATATTAATGGTTAATCCAAGTATGATATTGGGATTTGAAAGACTTCAAATTTAAGAGCTTCATTTTAAGCGGGTGGAAATAGCTATTGTTCGTTTATTAGTATTAATGCGTATTGATAAAACCATTATTTTATTCGGAGCCTCGCGATGAATTGTTATTACTTAATTATTTTAATTTAATTAATTCTTATCCGTCTCTTGTTTAAATTATTCCTGAAAAGCTGATAATGTCTTAAGGAAATTTAATTTGAATAAAAGAGACTAACCTATGCTCTTAAGCATAAACTGTTTCTTTTCCTCGTCCACATGTTGTTCCTTCATAAGGTTTTCCAATTCTTGTTGTATGAGCGGGTCTAATGTGCTTCTACATCGCAGCCAAGCTAAGGAGCGAGTTGCATCCTGAAATAAATATATATATACTTTAAAGGGATAGCTAATTCACATATAAATAATCAAACTTTTAATCTAGATTTAAAAAATGTCTTACTTCGAGTCTACCTCTCTTTACAAGGTAAGATGGCGTCTCCGGCATAGTGAGGAATACAATGAAGTGTACAGCTGGTATTGAAACCATAACATATAATATGTCTTTATAACTTAGAAGGTCTCCAATTATGTATATAAATAGATTTCCAACTGCCGTGAAAAGAGCTCCCTGTTGGCAAAAGAACTGACTGATACAATTCACGATACAATCCTGCGCAGAAGATATTCAAAATTCAAATATGACGGGTGATATTGAGGTTGATTATTTAATTACCCTAGTCGAGCAGCGATCCGTACTATGGGACAAAACACCTAATGAATACAAAAATAAAACTGCAAAACCAACAACATTAAAAGAGGTCTGCATCGTACCGAGTATCGAGCGTGACGTTACGATGTTTTTTGGGATGTTTTTTTAAGATGCTCATCGTAGATTTACACGATGCGACGTCGCATCGCGTTTATGTGTGGGAAGCCCACGATGTTATGCACAGTCCATTGAGTTAAGAATCTTAGTGATCTTACCCAGCATCCCAAGGCTCCTCGAATGCTGTCCTCACTAATTTCCTTAATGTAAGTGGGGCAGGTGACGCAGCCACCAGCCATAATAATGCCGACCAGGATTCGAGCAGTTATAAAGACCCAAATATTCATGGAACATAATTTAAGCGTCCAGATAGCCTGAAAATGTAAAATTATTTATTTTTCTTCATAAGCGATTTAGCGCCAATGGAGTGAGTGATAATAGGAAATACATAGTAAAATGGTAGTGACCATCTCCAAAAATTTTTTAGTAGTAGTAGTTGTATTGTTTTATTGTTTCTTGTTGTTTGTAGTAGTATTGGTAGAGCACGGAATGCTGTGACTATGAGCCAAGTGAAAAATATGAAGACAGTTTTTATTAAAACAACGATTAATAAGTGTTATTATTACATTTTATATCATTCTTTACCTCATAATCAAACTACGCTGTCTTTCTAGTGTACGTGTTCACTTTCAGTTAGCTTTTGCGTTAACTGTTTTCTAATAAAAGTTAATTAATGATGTTTCCTTCTGTCTCAAATGTTGACTTAGCTTGAAAAAATCTACGTAAAATCATTTATCTTATAATTTGATACGAATGTAATCGACGCTACTATGTATTTAGTAAAACTACGATCTAAAAAGAAAAGAAGAAATTCTAGTTCTCATCTTATGTGGTTAAAGTTTACTCAGAATTTAACGAAAGGGACGGTCGAATCCACGACTACAGCTAACATTAGACCTACCGTGCCCTGTTCGTTATGTGTAGTTTATTAGTAAACTTAATGTGGAGTGGGTTCGAGTCCCAACAAAGGAATCTAACGGCCCTATCGTGCTCTATTATTTGAGTAACTGTGTGCAATATAATTAAAAGTTAAATTAAATTTATAGCTCTCATGTGCAATAATATATTAAGAAGTCTAGGAGACTTAGGATCGTTTTAAAATAGTACTTACGATTGAAACGGCAGACATGAAAAGAAGTGTGGCTTTTCGTCCCAAAGTGTCGCCAATATATGCCATTAAATATGTCCCTGGTACACACGAAAGATATGGCAAAGATGCCATCCATGATATCTGTTTTAACAGATGAAGTGAAAAATTATTAAATACTGTCTATAGTTAACGCGAGTAGTACACATTTAAATAAAACATTTCAACGGTCTAAAACGCGATATATTAGTTACACTTCTCTCTCCTACACCACAGCTACTGCAAATTCTCCGAAACGACGGGCCGAAGTCAAAAATCACTTTCAAATAAGTTAAACTAATATATCGCGTTTTAAACCGTTAAAGTGTTTTATATAAATGAAAAATTATTACTAAACAAACAAATAAAAAATACTTTATTGACACCGCAATGTTACTTAGTTAAACCTGGTTTTATCATTCCTTATTCAAATTCCTGATTTTGCGTTACTCATTAAAACAAAAATAGTCCTCCTTCACTTTGTAAGACTAAACTATTTTGAAAATGTTTTCATCATCGAGCGCTCTTTGACGTTTCCTACAGGTGGGACTCGCTGCGGTTCCCAGCCGTCAAGGTGCTGGTTGAGCGATGACTCATGTCATTGAAATCTTTGGTCAATGGTGCCATTTAAAAAACCTATAGAAGATCTCTTTGTTATTACCTCAGAGTCAGTTAGAGGATGACCTTTTGGTGAATGTTCTGATTGCAACAGCAGAGTCATCGGCGACATCCATCCTATACTGGCTCCATACGTAAAAATCGGCACAGATACTGAAATAATAATCACTCAATGCATTTATACAAATTAAGGACTTAATCTCCAAAGACGTCATTACTACAAACAATTCAAAACGATAATACTTTTAAATAAAACGGTTATAACTGTTTAAATGTGAAGGAGTAGTTATTTGGTGGTTCGTTTAATAAATAATTTTCACGTTTCGGTTTAACCGTTATAATGTAATTAAAGTTTTATAATGTATACGACTCGCCTACTAAAACAATACAATTGCTTTAAAATATAAATTAATGTAGAGACGCTATTTTAAAATGTTGCCAAAAGGAAAATAAATTATTATTGTCATAAAATTAATACTTTTAATTAAAAAATATCAATATCTTAATTGTTTTGTTAATTTATAACGAATAGTTTTAAGTCAAATACTGTTTGTAGTTACGCGAGTGGTATATGTTAAAATAAAACACTTTAATGGTTCAAAACGCGATATATATTAGTTAAACTTTTTTGGATTTTTTTAACGACGGCCCGACGTTCCGGATGCTTTACAGCAGTCGTGGTCACGGGGAGTCTCACAGTTATAGGGTTTTATTTAATTAAGTCAATAAAAATTAATCATTAGTCGAATAAAAACATGAACTACTTACTTAGAAAGGCGCATATGATTTGATTGATTTGACTACCGATGGCAAATGGATTGCATAGAGTCATATTGGTAGAAACTATAAAACACAAGCAAACATTATGGCATTAACTAACGAAATGAAACACTGTAATCTTTAATACTTTGAAGACCGTATGATGCGACAGGCGTTAAGTTCCGTACATCGCAATAGAATTCAAAAAATGTTATGATAGAAAATGTTGTTAAACTAAACAGTGAAATATCTAATCTGTCTAATGTAATGTGAATTTTTCGAAATGGCTAAATTACAAAAAAAACACTTCAAACTGTTTAAAACGTGGTTTATTTTAACTCTGCGATGTTCTTGCAGCTTAATTCAATATTTTGCCGTGCAATCCCATTTAAACGGTCTCCTTGGGCTAAAGGGCTAATCAACGGGTCGTGGGTTCGATCCCCACCGGGTCCAACATTCTTCTAATTTTTCAATTTATATTTTTTCTGAAACTTATTTAAATAAAACACTTTAACGGTTTAAAACGCGATATATTAGTTAAACTTATTTGAAAATTATTTTTAACTTCGGCCCGACGTTTCGGATGCTTTGCAGCAGCCGTTGTTGTCAATATATGGCGTTTTAAACAGTTAGTGTTTTATTTAAATGTGTACTACTCGCGTAAACTACAGACAGTATTTCTGAAACTTGTTAGATTCCGCCCGGGTCACGAACCACCGTACAAAGACGACAAAGCAGCGAAGCTTAATCGCTTTTCGGTTTTAGTCTGTATAAGTCAACAACCCATCTTATTTAGATATAGGATGAAAGTATATCACCTACCTTCAAGTGAATCACATGCTTGTCCTCCTATATAATTAAAAAAACAGACTCAATTCTGTATCCGTTCTGATCAATGCTAACTACAGGCGTGTTGATTATGAAGGCCTTTTTTTAGTTTTTTTTTTTACAGCAGTAGCAACGAATTCCTTAATATATAATCTTTTGCAATAAGTAACAATTCAAAGGAGAGAGTTTACTTCTAAATATTATACAAGTATAACCCTATAAATGTAATCACCTTATGACGATAATAGGACATTAAAATATAATAAAATCGTATATATAATGTATCGGAAAGAATGTTTATTGCTAGAACATTAGGAGCGATAGTGTAACTGTACTTTCGAAATATATTAATTTTACATAGTAATGAAAATGTAAAAACATAACGTTTGTTTAGGAATTACTCACAGTGTTTTTAAAATCTATACTAATATAATATTATAAATGCGAAAGTAACTCTGTCTGTCTGTCCCGCTTTAACTCCGAAACTACTGAACTGATTTAAATGAAATTTGGTACACAGGTATTTTAGAGCCTGAGAAAGAACATTTAAGAAGGATTTAATGCCAAAAAAAAGGGTTGATAAGAGTCGAGAAATGTAATGAAACTTGAAGCTAGAACAATTAAACTTTCTTCTTTGGATTTTTTGGGAATAGGAGTGGGAATGGGAATGGGGTGGGAGTGGGAGTGGGAATGGGGATGGAATGGGAGTGGGAGTGAAAGTGAAAATGAGAGTGGGAGTTAAAGTAGGAGTGATGTGAGGTGAGAGTGTTGTGCCAAAGTAGCACTTACAACATAGAATGGCTGCCTTAAATGCGCCCTTACATTAATTAAATAAAAAAATAATTAAAAATTCTACCCCAAGTCACTATTCTACGCGGACGAAGTCGCGGTCACAGCTAGTAATATATACTTAACTAGCAGTACCAGCTACTTCGTTTGCGAGAATCGTTATTGGAGTATTGGGCACCCAAATTTGTTTTTGCAAACCCTTGTCATCTTTGAGACATTATGCTGTTATCTACGACGTCGGTCGCAACCCTTTCCGTCGTTCTTGCAAGTTAATCTTAAAAAATAGACGTGTAACGTCGGCCTTTTTTTAGATTATTCAAAGAGATGATGAATAATTTTCCCAATTATTTTCACATTTTGTGCTGTATCTTCGCTTGTATGGCACAGGGAGATGTTTTATAGCCTTCCTTGATAAATGTTCTAACCAGCACAAAAAATTGAAAAAATATTCAATTTAAACCCGTAGTTCCTGAAATGAGCGCGTTCAAACAAACAAACAAACACTTCAGCTTTATATATTATAGATGCAACTTCCAACTACTCGCCTGGCAATGAAATGTGAATTAGCATTGAATAAAGCACGAGAGGTCCCGGGTTCGAATTCTCGAAAAATATAAATATCCTCCACATCAACTACTTAGCTGTGAACCACACAGACTAACTGCCCCGTGTCACAGGTAGGGTAAATTCACATTTTTTACGTACTTACGGACTCTCCCCGTGACCACGGCAGCTGCAAATCATCCGAAACGTCGGGCCAAAGTTAAAAATAATCTTCAAATAACTTTTACTAATATATAACGCGTTTTAAACCATTAAAGTGTTTTATTTGAATGTGTACTACTCGCGTAAGCTACAGACAGTATTTCATTTGTAACTCTTTACAAGTGGACACTAAATGAAGACTTGTACATTAATAACATAATGTGTTCCTTTCCTTCTTCGTAAAGCCATTATTATTGTATCTTCCTTTGGTTATTATCTCTTCGTACTTAGTAATAATATATGAACAACCAGCTTAATAAGTACAATTGTTTATATTATCATAGTATGACAATATTATCTTGTCACAGATGACCCGGGATGATCCGATTTGAAAGGCTCTGTGTAATGGCAGCATGGCTAATAAGCAACGGGTCGCGGGTTCGTTCCCCACCGGATACAACATGTTTGTAATCAATTTATATTTTTAGGATTTTGTCCGGGTCACGAACCACCGACCATAGATGAAAAAGTCGTGAAGTGTAGTCGACTTCGGTTGTCTGGATTTTCATATATCGAAAGCCGAAATAGGTCGATAGCGCATTTTGATTATGATGTAAAGACATCGGGTATTTTAACTTCTATCGAGTGAACTCCACGCTAGCCCGCCGTCTATTAGAAAAGAAATATTATATTGACAAAATTTTTCTTGTGCCGCCCGTATGTATATTAATGTTTTAAAATTATTTTAATTTACAGAAAATGATTCTTACAACATCTATCTTAGATTAAAATATCAGTACGTTTAAAATAAGAAGAATGTCTCCAACGTTTTTGTTACATTTGGTGTCGTTATATTATTTACTTATAAATTTATAGTCAGTTAAATTTATAACTATTAAAATAGTTAAATTCAAAGTCAAATTATACATATAGATACTGTCTGTAGTTTACGCGAGAAGTACACATTAAAATAAAACACTATAACGGTTTAAAACGCAATGTATATTAGTTAAACTTGTTTGAGCACTATTTTAATGTCTCTTGTAGTCTCCCGGTGACCACGACTGCTGCAAAGCATCCGGAACGTCGAGCTATAGTCGAATAAATTTTCAAACAAGTGTGTTTTATTTAAAAATTATACATATGGGATATTTTGTACATTTGACCCTGCTTTCTGTTGGTATAAGAATATATCACGTAAAATATCATAAGTTGAATAGATAATATTTTATAAATATCTATAATAACGTATATTATGAATTAAAATCAAAATAAAATTATTAAGAAAAAGGCACTTACTTCAAGCACATATGAAATTAAAATAAATTTATATAATACTTTCGAGAAAATAATACTAAAAACAATTGACGGATATACACTGGACTGGTCGGAGTGAGCATTATTTAGTTTTGTGATTGTCTCGACTCTCGAGTACGAAGCCTACAGTGTTGCAGCTAAATCTAAAATTTCAGTTAATTAGAAATTTTCAACTACAGAAGGCAACTCTTTGTGTGTGACGTATTGGGTAATAACAGTTATAGATACAAAATAATAATGGGATGTCATAAAAAATAAATATATGACTTGACTTAGTTGTCAATAGTACATATTAATTTGATATACCTAATAAACTAACTTTATAGTTAATGGATATCATTTGTAAAATTTTGTCTTTCTGGCATATTCTTTAACTATACGTGACATAAGAATATTCATTTGTTATGGTAAGCAATAACTAAGATATAATAACACAAATGTATTGCTTCTGTAGCCGAATGGTTTAACGTGTTGCCTAGCATTGCTTTAAGGGGGCCTGGGTTCAAATCACAGTACTGTAAAAGGTTTGTGAGCCAAATACAGAATTATGTTCGCCCCATACACCATGGGTACGGAAACGGGATATCACTACATTATAATAAATATGGCTTTTGCATCTTTTTTTTGCAATTATAACGATGGTAACTTCTTATTTTTGTCGAAAATACCATCGATTCAGGTACTGAGCTGAGCTATTGTAATGAGGATGAACATGAAATGAAATGAGGGTTCTTTTCTAATTAATTTAACATTTACATAAATTTTGTGTTATTTTGGTAACGTTTAAAATTTCTAATAAAAATTGCTAAAGTTTATTAATTTTACGACCATTTCAGAGTTATGTGAGAATATAATGATCAAAGATGTAGTAATTTTTTTATTTGGCATAATGACACGTGAGGTATAAGAAAATTAGTAGAACAAAAAAGGATAATAAACTTATTACTATATAAATAGTAGATTTTTACGATTTTACCTAAAATATTTTAAAAAGAAAAGGAGGATAGATAAGCATGCGGTTACACTCGAGGAATGTGGAATACCCCCGCCATATACCATCTACTACTTTGGCTTTGGCTCTGACCTACTTTGGCTTTGGATATTCCGAAATTCGGAGACTGAATCCGAAACGCTGTTAAACCTCACGTATTTTATATTTGTCAACAGATTCGGATGTCAGTATAATGTAACTGACATTTTAAGATTATCCATTTGTTACACGTTACCTGTGGCAGATATAATAAATATTTGAATTGTTAGAAGGCAGAATAATAATTAAATTTATCATAATATTGATACAACGCTGATAACACAATTAAAAGTTTTAAAGCAAACAGCCTACAGACGAAAATATAATTCAGCAAACAGTGACTATGTCTGAAAAATAACATAACAAATATTTAGTATATATACGTATATATGTTTTTTTTACATACTATGACAACGATGAATATTATTTTTTTCTTTGATAGTAAACTGTAGGGTGGCATTTTTTTTATTTCTTTCCTATGGATCATAAGGCGTAAAGTGACATACTCCATTCATAAGCAGATGATATTAAAAAAATCACGACTCGGGCAGGACTTGAACCGGCATCCACACCGTGCTCTAACCAATTGACCAACCGAGTCCTGCACGGCATCGTCGAATTTTTTCAAAGTATTATCGATTTTCAATTGAGTTTTCAAATGATTTTAGCTACATTAGACAATTAATGTTTTTATTTATTAAATACTGTCTATAGTTCACGCGAGTAGTACACATTTAAATAAAACACTTTAACGATTTAAACTAATATATCGCGTTTTAAACCGTTAAAGTGTTTTATTTAAATGTTTTTGTATATATTCATATTTAAGCCATGACTTCTGACAGACGTCTTAAAACACGCGTATTTTCGTGTTTCTTACACTTCTTCCCAGCCTTGATAGTTTAATAAGTTGTATAAAACACTTTTGAGGATTTACAATGAGCATTATCTTGAGTTTGATATTACGAACACTCTTCAACGTTGCAATGCATCCCAACGTTGATTAACTTATTCATAAGAAATATATTTTTTTTATGTATATTATAAAGAACAGATTTGATGTAAATTTGTTAAGTAATGCATAGCAAATACTGTCTATAGTTTACGCGAGTAGTACACATTTAAATAAAACACTTTAACGGTTTAAAACGCGATATATTAGTTAAACTTATTTAAAAATGATACGTAATGCAGCCGTGGTCACGGGGAGACGGGTCTCCCCGTGACCACGGCTGTTGCGAAGCATCCGAAACGTCGGGCCGAAGTTAAAAATCATTTTCAAATAAGTTTAACTAATATATCGCGTTTTAAACCTTTAAAGTGTTTTATTTAAAAAATGCATATCACTTTTGCTTGATGCTGGTAACAGTACATTTTTATTGTAACTTTAGCCAATGTCGTTATTTTGATCTTAATTATTTCTTAGCCTATTAATCCTCTAGATTTAGTAATCTAAACCTCTAATAAGAAATACCTTGTTATTTAAGAATTAACATATATACGGCTTATCACAATTAATGTTTATATATAAAAATGACTATTTATTATTTTACAGTTTTGTAATTGAAACGGGAAAACCAAGTTGTTTGAAGTTACTTATTCCGCTATCTAAGTGCGCGACCCGTTTACAACAATAAAATAAATAATCTATCAGGTCAAAAAACCCATGATATAATTTATTTTGATAAGGTGTAGGGATATTTTCGTTTGTTTAAAAAATGAGTGGGTCCTATTTTCAGAACAAAACACGGCTAATCCACAAGTTAGTCTGTTGGTCATGCAAATATCGGAGTTACACATCTTAAAAATTTTCTTGGGTAAATTTATAAATTGATATCCACGAATAATACAAATAAGGTATAAGACACACTGTTTAATAAAAAATCCCTTTAATGACGGAAAGGGCGCTGAAAAGCATCCAAAACATCGTACCTATATAATATGCAAGTACTTTACATTTCTTTAAGTAGAAGATCGCGTTTTAACCGGTTTGAAAAGGCAATAATTGCAAAAAGTACAGACAATAATATTGTTTATTTTGATTTACTTGTCGTTTACTTGTTCACATTTTACGTACGTAGCTGTGTCAGCGACTCGGTCCGCGATATTTTTTTAATTTGGGCATCCATATTTGGTTTTGCAAACCTCTTCCGCATCTTTATAAACTTAAACTGTTACCGACGACGTCGGTCGCGTCCCGTCGTTCTTGCAAGTTAACCTTTAAAGATAAACATAGTGTCGCGGACATTTTTATACCATTTAAGGAGGAATCATTTTTTCATACATTTTTTTCATATTGTAAGGTAATTTTAAAAATTAGTGCGTTCAAACAAACAAACTCTTCAGTACTTAAGATTACGAGATTCTTGATATAGAAAAAAAAAAACCTATACAATTTTGTGTTTTAATCTGATTCACTTAATACGGGTTAATTGTGTACCGAGCGTAAGCGGCAATAGATTATAAAAGGAAATAATACTTATAAACCGTATTTAAGATGCACACAAGTGTCCAAACAAGTACGTTTTAAACAAACCAGTGTCTGATAAGTTGTGTTTGGTGTTGGTTGTGTTAAGAAGATCAAGGTGATTTTTTTGTTACTTGAAATTGTAATCCAGTTTTGATTGGCAGGAAGTTGTTATAAAAAATACGTCAATCTACAGTTATTAATAAACTTGTTACGACAAGAGACTCGTTATATGTTTTTGTACTAATATGTTGTACTGGGCTTCTTGGTCCAACGGTAGCTTTGTGTGAATTATAATCAACAGGTCGTGGCTTCGATGTCAAGGTCAAGGAATTAAAGTCGTAAAGTTCGCGTTTTGGTTTCAGTCTGTGGATATCCTTGACCCATTTCTATTTGTTCCCTTTTTTTATAAAAAAACGTATTTTACTGCTAACGTCGGCTTAGGTAGTTTTTATATAATGAATTTCGTGACTCTTCGTACAATACAAGTGTTGGTTTTTTCCTACCTCCATAGCCTTTGTAGTTAATAAGTACCTACATGCATACGTTATTTTTTAATTTGAATTACTTATTTGTTTCTGTTTTATTGCGTGGCTAAAAATAATATTACTAAGATTAATTGTCGTTGACTTATCACAACGTGGCTTATATATGTTATTTATAATCTATCAAAATGAATTTAGTAGGATAGACTATTATGCAAATAATTTCGCTCAAATTACAAGTATTTATTAGTGCAAATAAGATAAGATATAAGACGAATATTATAAAGCGATAACGAATTTCTATATTTAGTAACACTACTTTGTGTAGAATTTTGTTTTCGCTACTTGTTTTCTTTTTTGCATGCAACAGGAAATAAATAAGTAGTTCTAATGTTCCCCGGAATGTCTTACTCTAAAACTCGTTTATTTTTCACAGATGGCGTGTAATTTAAGTGCAATTATACTAACAATTGCACTTCTTCAAGCTGTCACTTCAATGACACCAAAGAAACGCCCAAATCTAAACCCTACCAGTAAGATTAGTTTTTATTATAGAATTTCAATTCCTTTTGTGTTTTCTTAAGTTTCTTATCAATTTATTTGGGCTTTTCATTACGAAATATGAAAAATGTGAAGATTATGACGGTTTGAAATTAAGTAATATAACGCTAGGTTACAACTATTTAGGACAAAACAAGGAAAGAATGGATTAGACACATTTCTATGTCTGTTTCACTGATCACTTTGCTAAACTGAACCTTTCAGCTTATTCACCATAATTATTTATTTTATTTATCTACAACTATGTATTTAAAATTATTATAAGACTTCATGGTTCCAACTTTCGCGTTTAAGCGAGCGATGAAGCTCAGCTACAGACGATAACAGACACGCATAGAATTATCTGAATAAAAGGTGAAATAGCTCTACCACAATAGCCAATCCTGTCTCATAGCTTGTTAAGAGGTCCAGCGGAAGTATAGACAAACGAAAGAGTTAACTCTATATATTTGTCTATACCTTTCCTGCCTAATCCTTAATATAAGAACTACATGTCTGCAAAATTTCTTCTTCACTTTTATATAAGTCTCGCGCCAGTTCGAACAGTTTAGCATGAAAATTATTCGTCTCGTCTTACAACAAGAATATTAAATTTAGCCATACCTTATTATTTCTGAGTCATTCAAATGAATTTTCTGTAGAGGCGGATGGGTCAAAGCAGTGCGAGACCAAAAAGGGAGCAAAGGGGCTTTGCGTCCATGAAACGCTCTGCACAGAGGACCACAGATTACTAGAAGGCGGCAATATACCTGATTCTGCTGTAAGGTGAGTTTATATCTGTAAAAAACAGTCAATTCTGTATATATACATGGAATTTAAATATAAATCTACATTTTAACTTCAAATCAAATTTTAGCATAGAAAAAATACTTGAATATAGTGAAATCTTTTGAATAAAACACTTTAACGGTCTAAATATATATAATATAATATAATATATTATAAGTAATATTATTTATTATATATTTATTTGAAAATGATTTTTAATTTCGGCCCAACGTTTCGGATGCTTTGCAGCAGCCGTGGTCTCCCCGTGACCAGTAAGTTTAACTAATATATCGCGTTTTAAACCGTTAAAGTGTTTTATTCAAAGGATTTCACTATTTTCGCATATCACTCGCGTAAACAAGTATTTAATAGTGAAATCCTTTATTCCATAGATAGGGCAAGGGAAAAAATTCTGTATCCGTTTCGTTGATCTATTTTTTTACAGGCAAGTAGCTTACAAGACCCGGGTCCTATCATGCCTACCGTTCAACTAGCGAACGCGTTCAATAATGAACCAGAATTAATTTAATTTGGTTATTTAGTTGTGAATTCAAAGAAGAATTTTATTTATGTACGTAATTTTTTTTTTAACTGAAGAAGCTTGACTTTGGTTTACCTTGAGTGAAAATTCTGTTTACAGGTATTCCTCGTTTTGTTACGCACTCTGTCATAATGTTATTATGTCTGGTCAAAATTCAATTGTTATTATCTCGATGAAGGTCATATCGTAGTTTAACTTGAAAAACACAAGACCATGCCAATTGCAGCGCTTATCACTGACACTCATGTCCGCATATCATTGTAGGGTTGCAGTGACCATTAGTAGGTATTCAAAAGTATTGTTTAGTGTCACAATTTCATGCCCTCAAAACCTATCACAATACTGTCTGGCCATAACGCTGTTGTAAGTAGCGTATAATATTGATTTGTGTTTGGCAAATGCATGAAAATGTTCAAATTTAAAACCATACCTAAATCCGTTATAGCACCTAGCTAATAAGAAGCGTCGTGCGGCGGACGAACACTTTCCATACTGGATTTATGCTTGTCTTTGGCTCACAGTTCGTCCCTTTCTGTGGCTTGACGGGACAGTAACTGAATTTTTTTTTAAGACTGGCAAGCAAGCGGTTAACTTGATGGAAGGTGACTTTGGGCATCGCAAAATCCATAGATAAACTTCACGACTTTAGTGGTGGTGGTGGTCCGTGATCGGATGGATCGTCGAGATTCCTACCACCCATTTAATAGGAAGATTTTCCTAGTCCTAGTGACGAAGAATAACTATGGCTATCTATCCCACGACCTGTTGATTGTTACAATTTTATTACTTTTATTTTTTTATACGTATTTGAAATTTGGTGAGTGGCAGCTGACCGGGTCGTTAGTGGATGTAGAGCGTAGCGTCTTGGTTTTCGTATTTGATACTCGTGGCATTGTTCAGACGCGACACGACCTAGTGAGCAGAGACCTTTATATTTAGAATTATTTAAGTGGAAATGCGAACAGGGTATTCATAATCAATTGATGTTTCCTTTGTTGAATGATTTACTATGATAAAGATTAAATAAAACAGCCAAGAGCGCGTCGAGCTCTCCCATAAATGTTCCGTACAATAATTGCGTTTTTTGTATAAAGACCTCTTTAAATGTTTATTTTATTTAGTTATTTAGTAAAATCTGTAAACTTTTCGACTACGAAACTGTTTTTATTTCTCTTATAATTTAATTTTTCAGACAGACGCCATCTTGTAATGCTAAGCAGAATGAATGGTGTTGTGTATTGCAGAAAGTCGTGACACCTAAGCCGGTTGTCAAAACTAATAGCGGTAATTTTTTACTATATTAAATTGAATTCAATGAGCGTATAGCGGCTTATAACTAAGACGTCGTGGGTTCAAATCCAATTTTCATTAAAATTGTAATCGCTGGGTACTTGAATGTTTTGCAACTCAAGTAGCGAGCGATTATATTTTATAGATTTAGATTATATACATATATTGAAATACGTTATTACTACTCTAATTACATACTCGTACGTACTATATGTTCTCTCACACATTGGTTCCTCTCAACTAGCTACAATCAAATTATGATCTAGGGAATTTCAAAAATAGGTAAACGTTGTGTCCTATACCACTAAGAAATTGATATTATAATTTATTTGCAGGTTGTAAGGCTATAAAAGAAGACTTTTGTCCATGGTGCGTTTCTTTATTCAGGTAATTTTTATAACAATTAGGATTAGAGGTAGAATTATCAAAAGTACCTATTGTATTTTCAAACACGTAATGATTTTTCTTGTATAAATTACAACAAAACAAAAATTAAACATAATGGTTTGCTACAACCTTTAAATTATTTTAAATTGAACTAAAAAAATATGAAACAAAAAACACACTTAAATTCTAATATAAGACCAATTAAATTCTAGAAACCAGGAGTTGGAATCAGATTCCTCAAGTCTATTCTGCGCAGGAGTGATGATAGGAACGAAAGTTGTGTTGACAGCGGCGACCTGTTATGTTGCTTCTTCGAATCAAACAGGGCTTTGGGCGAGGATACCAGGTTCTTCAGAACCGGAGACATATCACACAATTCGCTATAGAATAGCACATCCGTCGTATGTTTCAGGTATAGAGGTCACGCATTTAATTTAGTTTTCTTCAAATTAGATAACATGAGTATTTTTTCCACTAGACACGAGAGCTGACGGTAAAGAAGTTATTTATTTTTTCTATATCATTAAAGAACAAAGGCAACATGAACAATGGGAAAGCGATATTTGCAAAAATCCCTTTTTTGTAATTTTTCCCAAAAGTCTGTCCAGTTTGATATTGAATAAAAAAATCAATTGTAAAAATAATCTATTAATATTAGTTACAAAATATATTATTAAACTCTTTCGGTTAAAACAATAATAACAAAATTCCTAGGCGTCTTGAATTTTAGTTATTATTACAGTTAGACATATGCACTCTAATTACAAAACGAAGTTTAACGTTTGTACTGGACTAAGTATGGTACTAATTAAGATTTATTTAGACTATGGTTTAAAAGTTAAACCAAGACTCTGCAGTTCTGGTGTAAGAATTTTTTGTAATAAGGCCGATGTCCTGTCCTAACATTTTTCGTAGATACATTTTGCAAAGTCGTCGTACATTATTTTCTTCTATAATTAACGGTTTCTGCTAGGTATGCGACGAATGACTATTTATATTATACTTTACATCTTAGGTGACGTTACTAAAGTTTTTAGTAAGGATCCATAATCTTTTCTAGAAATTAATACAGCCTATGGTTCAACATAGCTCTCTAACGACGTTTTAAATCAGCACAGTAGTTTTTGAGTTTATTTTTTACAAACGGACACACAAAAATTCTAATCTTTTCTCTTTAAAATATATAGATGTAGATTCGCAGAACAGTAATAGCTAACACAGAAATGGAAGGCGTTTTTTACTATAGTTTATTACAATTATTAATTTTAAATTTAATAAACTCATGTATAGCGAGGACATACATTTTTTTTAATTCTGGTAGATAAGCTATTTAGGAATAATCATTTTATTCTTTGAAGGGCTCGTTAAAAATGACGGGTCGTTGGTTTGATCACTATCGGGTCCAATATGTTTGTAATAAATTTATAACTTGTTACATTACGTCTGGAAATCTGGACATTAGATGGGTGGTACGAATGTCGAAATTTCTGTCCGCCAGTTTGCAATATCCAAAATCAAAGTAGGTCAACGGCATATCTTTATTAGATTATATTGCTTGTCTGTCCTCATCCATCAAAAAAAAAAATAACGAACTCACGAAGCAAGGCAATTTATTTTATTTAGTTAAGTACACATCTAAAATATTACACAATAAGAAACACCATGTATAAAGAATATGTTTTGGACTTAGGTGCATAAATATTAGCCTAAAGATAAATTAAACATTCTAGGTTCTCGTGAAAATGACTTTGCCCTCTTTATATTGGAGAATGAACTAACGTGGAATGTTGATAACTACGGAGCATGTTTGGGTCTAGGAGGACCAATCAAGGACGCTTGCTTTGCATTTGGATATGATTATCAGGATAAGTTTGTTTCGGTAAGTATTTTGCTATTGGTAAGGAGAGACAAGAAACAGCTGTTTAAAAGTTAAGGTGGATACTATGGAGAGGGACATATATAACATTTACCTAAAAATATTTTTTATAAGCTACATTAATTCAGTTTTTAAATTGTGTTGTAAAAATGCATCACATAATAATAGCTTTCATATTTACTGGTTTGGCGATAGAAATAAAAATTTGTGAAAATGTTAACTATCTAGGAACCGCACTTCATAATACCCGGTGAACAAACAAGAAATTTTCACAACGACATGTTTAATTTAAACGTGAATTACTTGCGTAAATCTACAGTCAATATATCTTAAGTTAATACTAATTCTATCTATCTTTCATTCGGTGTCATAACAGTAAAAATTGATTGATTCTGACTATTGTTAATATTATATTCGTTCTCAGACTCTAGTTTCCGTAGCTCAAGGACCCTGTAAAAACAACGCTGGTGAAGCTAAGGACGTATCATGTGGAACTCCAATAGGCGATGAAGTCTGCGCAGTCGCACTAGGTGCTCCGGTCGTTTGCCGTGGTGATGTAAGTTGTGATATTATTTATATCGGTTGACCCCATCTAGCGTAACCTGAGAGAACTTTGTGTCGAATCGCTCGGATCTATACGTAATCTTCTGGCCTATCGGTTGCAGTGGTTGCTAAAGGCAAAAGCCACAACTAAAGACACCGGCGCATAAACTCAGTCTATTAAATCGTATGCGTGCATGATATTAAAAAAATGGAGCTAAAAAACGTTGTGTTGTGTGTGAGTGGATGCTGGAGGCTGCCGCTGAACTCCCTAGTAAGATTTTAGTATTGAATCTTAGCCATTGATTGTGCGATAGCTTCCTCCCTCATCTGCTAACAGCAATGTTGATACAGGAGCATTAAAAACAAACGGCAGTTTTCATCAATGCACACTTAACAAGGATAACATAAGTTTACTAGCCCCAAGGTCAATACTTAGTCATTAAATAAGTTTAAATTGCGAATAATAAAACTACTTGGATTGCGAAATATAATGTAATACGGTCTATAGTTTACGCGAGTAGTATACATTTAAATAAAACACTTTAACGGTTTAAAACGCGATATATTAGTTAAACTTATTTGAAAATGATGACGGGGAGACCCCCGTGACCACGGCTGCTGCAAGACATCCGACGCGTCGGGCCGAAGTTAAAAATCATTTTCAAATAAGTTTAAACTAATATATCGCGTTTTAAACCGTTAAAGTGTTTTATTTAAATAATATAATGTAAATAAATATTTCAAAGTTAAAAATGCTTACTGTTCAGAAGAATCTGTTGAACAGGAAAAAAAGATGTAGTGACGCTTAATGTACGTGAAGAATTTAAGATGTAAGTTGGCGGATAGTAGCAAAGAGTGGTGGCGAGTTTTTTTGCCAGTTCTTCTTCTCGACCATTATACGCCCTTGATTTGAGAACTGGTCGAAATGTTATAAGTTTTATTTTTGTTTCAGACTGACGACCTTCTAGTGTATGGTATCGTAAGAAGCCCGTGCAGAGAATCAAAAGCACTTTTAGGCCAATTGGAGTTTTCATCTAGTTGGATTCAGGCTGAACTAAGTAAACTCAATCTCAGCGAAAGTAATTACATGTTTAAGTAATTATTGTTTTTCCTCTCACCACTTGGGGTCTTAGATACTTATTTTTAAATGTTAAAATATACTCAAGCGATTTCAGAGACTTTTTCACTTTTTAAATAAATGATTGTTCCTTGTCACTTTATATTGTTTCAATTACAGCTACAAACAACATAATTATCTGTAATCTACGCGAAGTAGTTCCTACAAATAAAACACTTTTAAACGGCTTTAAATATATTATTAGTGAACATTTATTAATTATAAATACACAACATTTAATACAGCAATATGTGCGTATCATTGTTGTGTATTTATTTTATTTTATTGATCAATGGTATTAGTGTCCGATGGAAGACATTTCTCCATCGCTTGACCAGCTTTTTATTTAAATTTCAAATAAACTGGCAAATTTAATTATTATAAAAATACTTAAAAAATTAAATAATATCTATGTGGTCGCTGATTCTTTGAAATCATCTCCATTAGGTCGATCCTTCTCTCCTCGCAATTCTCCATAAATGTCTTCTAGCGTTCTTCCTCTTGTCTCGGGAATACAAAATATAACGTAAACGGCAATGAAGAAGCATACTCCAGCAAAGAAATAAAAAGAGACGTATATACCAATAAGGTTCGCTAATGGTTTGAAGAATAGCAGTTGTAGGAAGTCTGAGAAGGAAGCGATAGACATTGTAACGGCCATTACAGTGCCGCGGTACTGAAAAAAAAGACGGAATAGTATATGTGTAAATCAATCAAGATACTTCAGATACTAAAAGATAAAATATTTGTCTTTTAATAAAATCAATCAGTGAAACGAATACTGAAATGTTTGCGCCATGCACCACAAGGAGAAAATGCATATCACACACATACACTTTTGTAAAAAACACACGAAAAAAAAACAGTTTATTCTTAACATACCTTAAAGGAAAATATTTCTCCCGCAACGACCATAGATACAGGCTGAAGACCAGCTGAGTCGCAGAATATACACAAACACAATGTTGCTATCGGCAGCCATGTTGTCGCGTTGATACCGAAGTCTTTCAGCACGAACCATGTAGCCAACGCTGCCATGCCAATAGCAGATAGAAGTGAAGTCATAAAAATGAGAGGCTGAAAAATTTTATCGGTCAGGATGTGGTCTTTTTGGACAAGCGACTCCAAATTTTAGTGCATAGCAATATATTGATATTGAGGACATATCATTATTATAGATAGATGGTAATACCTTTCTTCCAGACTTTTCCACAATACTGGATGCGAAAATAGAACCGACCACTTGTACAGTGCCCAGTAAAATAGCTTGCTGATTAGGAGATAAAAGTAGTGTCGATCCTTCCGAAGATATTGTGAATATCTCTCCAGCGAAATTTAACACAGGCACTGCACCGCACACTTCTCTGGCAAGAACTACTATTAGAGCAATACGAAATGCTCTAAAAAGTATTTTGTTATTGTCTGAAAAAAAGTGATTATAAGAAGATATAAGTTGAGTGTTTAGAAAAAGAGCGTGACTATGATATTACTTCCTATTTATTTTTTAAATTGCCAGAGTTTAAAGTACGCGAAGTTAGTACATGATGAATGATTACACTTTAAAGGTTAGCAATCAAATAAATTTATGAAAATATGCTAGAATAACGCTGAACTTAATAAATATACCATTTGCAAAAAATAATATCATAACAAGACGTCATAATTATGCCATCGTACTTAAATATACAAAGCGTTTTTTAAAAAACATTAGTCATGTTATATTTATCGATTTATTATTTTCCTTGTGTATATCTTTCTTTCTATATTATTTTAAAGAAAATAATATAGTTTAAAGGTTAAAGACTTACAAATTTCTCTAAGAAGGAATTTGTTTGACTGAGCATCATTTTCTTGTTCTCTTCTAGTGTGCTCTAGTTCTTTGATCACCTCTATGTCATCATCAGATCTGCATCTTAGCCAAGCGAGGGCTTTGAGAGCTTTCTAAAAATTATAATTTGTGTAAGCTTTCACTTCACGTAGATTTTATAAATGATTTATTTGAGCTTTAAAGTACACAGAAACACAGTCTGACCAATTGGAAGAAAATTAAGACTCTTCAATAAAGAGATTTACCTCATCCTTTCCAGTCTTCAAGAGATATGAAGGTGTCTCCGGCATCATTGTAAGAAAAATGAGATGTGTAACCGGAAAAGCCAGACATATCCAAAGTACCGTGTAATAATCCAATAAGTCTCCAATAATGTATGAAAACAAATTACCAGCCGTATGGAATACACCAATCTGTAGAATTGAAATGTAGTGAGGTAACATTGTATAGAGTTATAGTTAAGAATGTGTAAGGAGAACTCCCACTCACAAGTCACAAGTATCTCAGGCCAAAAATGGACAATACAATTCCAAATGACGGTTACATAAATTGTGATTGTCCTTAAAGAAGCGTTATTACTTTTGGTTGCAAACATTTTTTTAATTGTTCAGCTTTTCTTATCATCATCCACTTCAAAAAAATCTTACCAAGCAACCGAGGCTACCTCTGATGCTGTCTTCGCTAATTTCCTTGATGTAGATTGGGAATATGACGTAACTGCCAGCACCGCCTATACCAACCAAAGCTCGTGCTGTGACAAGAGCCCAGGTGTTGAGGGAAGTCAGGAGTATAGACCATGTCCCCTGAAATACGTCTATGAAGTTACAGAGTTTAGTAAAGACGGGTTTAACAAAAACGTTTGGTTCTGACACAATAACTTTTGCCTGTCAAACATTAGTATTTTAAATGTTTTTAAGTCAAGTAGTGCCCTTAGTTTACGCGAGTAGTCCACATTAAAAAAAACACATTTAACGGTTTAAAACGCAAAGTATTAATTACCTTAATTTTATTTTATCTCAATACAGGCCTGACGTTTCGGTTGCCTCACGGTTTTATATAAAAATGTTTAACTTCAGTGGAATGATATTAAATAAAGTTTTTACTACATGGGTTAAGTAAGAAATATTGACAGGTGTAAGTAAATAAGTAATGAATTCGGAACCGAGGAATATAGAACAGTTAGGACCCAGCCAGTTTCTCCAAATACCATCTTTGAGGAAAGATGGCGCTAGCGTGGCATCTTCATTTTCGATCAGCTGCAAAGCATCCGAATCGTCGGTCCATAGTTAAATAAGTTAACTAATACACTTTAACACGTTTTAAACTGTTAAAGGCGTTTTATTTCAAACTAGCGACTCGCCCCAGCATGTAGTGATACAAATTGAAAACTTTTAACTTATTTATAATTAACTTTATATAACTGCTAAGTTGCGTAAATCTATATAAATAATTAATAAATAAGAATTGGCAATCCGTACCAGACTCAGCTGTTTGCTTAAAGCTTGTCCTTATTTTCAGAAAGGCCCGGGTAATTTAAATGTATTACTCGCGTAATCGAGAAACTTACTTAATTCATAATTGTCTAAAACCCACTTACAAGGGCAGATAAGGACACTATTAGGATTGCATTCTTTCGTCCGATCTTATCAGCTATTACAGCTAGTCCCCACGAGCCGGGCAGAACAACTAAATATGTTATTGATGCCATCCAAGACACCTGGAATTTAAAATTTAAATTTCTATTCTGTTGTTACAGTAAGATGAACAAGTATCAACTTAAAAAAACTTTTAAGTTTAACGGTTTTATTTTTTGTGCACTGAAAACTATTTTTTGTTGTAGTGTTTTACTAGTGTAACCCTTTAATTTCATAACCATATTGAGGGGTGAAGGAAAAATATGTAATCCGCCATTTTGTATCTGCGGCCATCTTGGATTTGTAATGTTATTGATTATTATATTGTATTGTCATCTAAATGCAATGTGTGTACCAAATTTCAGATCAAATTGACAACTGAAAGGTGCTTAAATTTCAATTTCTAATTTCGAAATAAATAAAAGCCGTACAGGTAAATAAAACCGTTTAATAAAAACTCTACTTTGTATTGCTAGACAGCTAAGTACACTCAAAAATGCTATTTTTTTACATTCTTTCAAATCAAGTGCATACAACGAACGAAAAGAACCGAATTTCACTGCTATCATACTAAATAAAGAAGACTTTATAAAGCAGATTGACACATTTGTCAGCTTACCTCTAGTTCAGTTAATGGTTCACCACGTGGTGAATCCGGGGACTGAAGTAATAAAGTCATTGGAGACATCCATCCTACAGCCGCTCCGTATGCGAAAACTGGAATTAGAGCTGTAAAAAACGAAAATATACAATTTTTATTTATTTAATAGGTAATCTATTGTATAGATAACACATCTGTAGGCTTTTTCCTTTAGTTATTTAATTAAACGCGCTAATCTCTAATTCTTAATATTGGTTCGAATTGAAAAAATATTTTTGTGTTAAAAAGAGGAAGGCTTAGGTTTACTTTCAGCTTATTTACAGCAAAAACGGTTCCAGAAACCAAAAAATATGTATTTAAGTATGATTTCTCTTTAAATGATCTGAAAAATATCCGAGGCAGTATTAGTGTGTATCTTTTTGGATTAACTCGCAAGAATGAATGCACTTTTACCTGTTACTGTGTTATTTGTTAGATCTGTATAAACATAATAATCTTTTATATACTTTATATATTGTATGTATGTGAATAATACTTAATTACGTAAGTCACGAGTGAAGTTTAATTTAACAAAAATCCTTACACAATAGATAGACATTTTTATTATTATTTATTGCTTTAGTTACCCTTCGTCCATACCTACGATAGAGGTTGGATTCCCTAATTTTAGCACATTACTGCTTCATTAATAGGTTCAGTTCATTAATATCGAATAATCAAATACCTAAGTAACATTTCTTTCTCGTTCGTGATCTTACTAAACACTTACTTAATAGAGAGCATATCACTTGCGTTGCTTGACTTCCCTTCCTGAATAAAACCGGCTTCATCTCCTTTCACATCTAAACCAACTATACCACAAGAACACAACGCACTTCATTTATGTATTTAAGATAATATTTAGAATTTATAGTCCTAGGTATTTAATAAGGCGTTAGATATGGAAATTACTAAAACCTTAAGCAAATATAAAATTTCACTTTACTTCCAAGATATCCCACTCCATATAAAATAATCTAATTAATTATGGAGATGTTTCGTTACGTTTAATTCATATACTGGCGCTTGCTTGTGCAAAGTTTTATTCAAATTAACTGATCTGAAACGTTGTAATTTTCACCCGTTGACCAGAACAGAGCGCTGTTCATGATGGGTGCCCACTGCCCACGTAAAAAGTATGAGATCCAAATGCGAATATCCAAAACTATGTATAATAGGACAACAACGTATCCCTTTAGATGTTATAGGGTTGGAGTTTAAGTGAACCACGACCACCAAGCTTGTGCTTTATAAAAGCATTATGTTAGTAGTCAATTTGTAAAATTAACTTTAATATTTCTTTTTCTCTAAAATTAAGGAAATGTACGACGCGTGTGATATGCTTGAGTAAGCATCAAAGTCTAATGGAAGAAAATATCCTTGCATTTTTCGATCATGATAAACGACTTGCCTGACGTAGTAAGAAAAGCCAAGTGTTTGTTGTTTGCCGACGACTTAAAGCTCTTATTGGCAGTCAAGGACAAAGGCGACTGCATTAATCTTCAGGGAGATATAGATAAAATAAAGACGTGGAGCGAAAATAACAAGCTGCAAATTAATTTATCTAAGTCATGCGTCATAACATTTACCAAAGCAAAAGCCCCAATTCGGTACGAATACAAATTGGCAGGCGCACCTTTGGAAAGAGTGCAATCTGTACGTGATCTCGGAGTTACAGTAGACGCAAGGTACACGTTTAGAGACCACATAGTCAGTGTCTGTAAGAAAGCTTATAAGCGACTGGGTTTTGTCCTTCGGAGAGCGTCTGCATTCACCAGTACCAGAGCCATCACAGTGCTGTATAACGCATTAGTAAGAAGTCAGTTGGAATCCAACGCCGTTCTTTGGGCGCCACACGAAGTTAAGTATAGCAGTATGCTAGAGCGTATTCAAAATAAGTTTACGAGGCACTTATATCAAAGGCATTACGGGGTGTATCCTTACTACCCCTTAATGTATCCGACGTTATTCGTTTTAGGCATGGTTGGATACGCTAAGCTCGAAGCACGGAGGCACCTAGCGTTGGCCACGTATGTGTTCAAGGTGCTGAGAGGCATCACATATGACCCCACGGTGCTACAGTCCATCAGCTTCTACGTCCCAGATGCCTACCTACGACGACGTACTAGATCACTGTTCGCCATCAGTCCCGCGAGAACAAACTTAATGTATTATTCCCCGAATATGCGAGCACTTCACATTCTTAACAGTGTTAATTGTAAAATAGACATTTTTAATTGTACAGTGACCGAGTTCATAAAGACTATAACGTATATGTAGTAGCGTTATATGTAATATGATAACTATTAATTTTAATTTTATTTAAATGATTAATTGTAACTCACTATCATGTTGGAATTGTTATTCTGTAAAGGTGTGTGATTGGTTTTTAATAAATAAATAAATAAATAAATAAATATTTAAACATTTTATAAAGTATATATCTATTTTAATACAGAATAAAAAAAAAGTGCGTGAACGAAACTATTTTTCATATGTGCTTTAATTATCTGTTCTCTTCGAATAAATAAACCATAGATGACGAGTGATTGATTTATTTTGACAACGTCAGTAAACAGCCATTTCTTAGATACTCAATTTTAGATTATGTTATGATTTACCAAATTGTTACTATTTAAGCTATCATTAAATGAGCTAATAATTCGAACCAAATTTTTAAGAGTTCAAGTAAACCAAGGTCTCAAATGAGAAAAGTAAATGGTTTTAATCTGGTTATTAATATATGTCGCTTTAGTTGGTGAGTATTCTGAAGTATCACACGATAAGTGACAAATTTTAGTGGAAATCGTGAATCTGTAATCAACAGAAGTCTAAAACAATATCTGCGCGACTGTGAATAGATGAGGTTTCGAATAGTCAGACATAAATTTTTTGTCCTTTTGTCTTACTATTTGTATTGTTATATATTATCGCAGTTCCGTTGCCAATTATCTTGCACATACTGGTTTTCTAACGTTATACCATACTTCCTCGGTGAACTATTGCAGAATGTCACATCTTGGGTGGTCCCTGAGGTACCGAAAATATCTAGAGATCCGGCCTACCTTTGAAGTTAATTTCATATACAAATACAAATGTTTAAAAAAAAACTTTTAAGATCTTGTGAGGATCAAACCCAAAACCTGTCGATTAAAATATATTTTAGTTTGTTGTGCCCATAAAATATAGTTTATTTTGTCTTTTTCAGTGGTGATTCTAGATTACCACAACGCTTTGAATATATTGACGCTGGAGGAATTCACGGACAATTTTAAGAAGCTCGTCGAAGAAATGTCCTCGTATTTCCACCCATATGGGTATCCTATTGAACTTCTCGTTAGAAACTGCATGTTTTTAAATGAAGTTAAATTACTGTACTAGAATTAATGTATATTGAAAAAAATGTAATAAAACCATACGTGATATAATTTATTTGCAGAATTTCGTGCTCTCGTTTATACCATAAATTTAAAGCCTGCCAATAATTAGTGATTCAGCGTAGTGGGTCTAAGGTCATCAGCACTGCTTTGTGAAGGATGATCTATGTCAGTAGTAGAACAATAAAAGGTTCTATTGAATGATATTGAATTTATATCTTCACGTCTCTTACGCATGGGCTGTTCCGAGTGACAGAAGAGACTTGAAACCAACTGTTTATCAATAGAGCTTAGAGTGTAAATTTTAGTTTTGCGTAACTTATATTTATATGATAATCTCATAGCTTTAGATAAAAGCCAACGATGATTAAAAACACTACCTACTAATACTACAACCAACACAATATGTATCTTTTTATTGTGGTATAACGATATTCTCTGTTTTAAAATTGGTCTGGTGACTGTTTACCTAGTTTATATTTTTATGGGCGTCACCTGTTTAATTAAATTTATTATTATTAATTATATTATACGTATTCTACTTGTCGCTGTGCTAATAAAAAATCTTTTAACATTTATTATAGAAGTGGCTTAATGTTAGAGATATATAAGGGGTCATCCATAAAGTACGTCTCAAGAATTTCATGATTTTTTGAGCTTTATTTCATTATTCGATAGAGTTGGAAATATTTGTTAGATTAATTAATATGTCAAATCACGCGATTAGTACTTCTAGATACATTAGATTTTAAAATGTGATGTCACGAAACTTAGGACCCCTCCCACCCCTTGTTACACCATGTCACACTTTGTCGACCCCCCTCCCCCCATTACGTGTGGCGTACTTTATGGATGACCCCTAATGATATAGTTTACGAAGAGTTTGTGGTAAGGGAAATTTTGTTTGATAAGTCCTTTTTTCTGAATGGTGCCCCAAAATGTCAACCAAGTTGTTTTATTACGTGAGGAATGTCATTGTCAAAACCACAACCGTCTGCTTTCGTTATGTTAGCCCTAATTCTATCAGTGACGTTGCACGTCAAAACGCCATTGATATTTACCAAGATATGTTACGTGTTTAATAATTCATTTAAAAGATTAGAACGACGTCGTATTAGAACCATGTAATAATTATCTGTTAAGCACCACACCAGAGCGATAAGATGTAGTATTTTCTCATGCCGGGCCGATAAGTAAAACAAATAATAAGATTTAACATTTTATTTGTATATAAAACATGTTGGTACACAGATTATATCTATTAGAATTCATTTCAAGTAGAATAATAATTATTAATAATACAAAATGCTACCTACATAAATAAATGCCGTTTTAAAGTTATTCGAGAGTGCGGAATGTTTTAAATATTAACGTTGCACTCGTTGAATGGAAGTTATACTAGAACTATTTACAATACTTACTAATTTAATAAATAAGAACAATAAATAGACAGTCGAAATTTAATCTTAAACTATATGCAAATATATTCTACGACAAAGCGGCTATAATACGGATACTAGTGAGTATATGATGCCATTATGTTCCTATAAGTAACATTAGAAAGTAGTCTTAGAGCTGGCTAGTTAAATTGTAAAAAGAAACGTAGAAATGTTTTTAAAACTTTTTTATAAGCATAAACCACCTCTGAATCTTAAAAGGAACTAAGATAAAATTTTGTACTTAATAAATATTCTACACAAGATAATGGAAGACAAGATTATGAAAAAGCTGATAATTTACCTAATTATTTAAGTCAGAATTTTTACGAATAGATGTATCGCATCTTTTTATTGTGCTGTTCTTTGAAAATAAGAAATACTAATAAATGCCTATATAGATTTAGAGATCTATATGTCAATAGTGAGACAATATAAAAGATCACCAATCTTCTCCGCCCACCTTAAAAACGTATCTACCAATAATTTTAGGCAAATTACCTTAAAGAATAAACAGAATAACAGATATTATATTTATCTAACAAGAATTGGCACTAATCGATAAATGGTGAACCCATCAAAAGCGATACATTATTATGACTGATGTAAATTATTTACTAATTTATCGGTATAAATAGTTCTTCGGCTCTTCGGCTATTGGCTCAGTACACGTTCCCAAATGTTTAAGCTGCACCAGACTTCTGTAATACAATCAAGGTCTGAGTTATAAAACACACTTACCGTGGAATAACGACACGTGCTCGCAGGGAAAACGTGACTTTTTTGACGGATTTGTTGGTGTTATGATAGCGATGCATAGCGCGTCGTGGGTCTAATATTCTCCACCTGATATGTTTGCTTTCCTCCTCAACCATGTAAAAATGCTACTTAAACCATACCATTAGCTAAAAACAAACGACAAACGCGTTCTAAAGAAACGCGACTCGGACTTGGCCGTTTTAATCACTTACCTCGACCGACAATTTTCCATCTCTAGGAAGCATTTGTTGGAGTAAGTCTTGTCATCAGTGCCGCATACAGGATCATATTCTGGTGGGCAAACTCTTGCGCAACCCGCGTATTGGAAGCGGGCGAGGCAGCGTTTAAGGGGTACAACATAGACGTGTTTCCTGGAACACATAGTTTTAACAACTTATACATAAATAAATAAGTTAAAATTAAAAATTATACGTTAACAAGTTGTAGTTTAAGAAACAATTCGGTTTCCATCGCAACTTAGTTCGTAGATGACTGATATAAGAAAGTAGCTGCCATCTGCTATGTACATATAATCTGTAATAATGTTTCTAATCAATTTATATTTATCCAGTAACACGTTCGACTTCGTCTGAAAATCTGGATGTTGATAGGAATAACGAAATTCCGTGTCAAGAAGCATCGACCAAAAAAAGTTGTTGTGTTTCGGTTTTAGTCTGTGGATTTGCAAATATCCGAAGCCGAAATTTGTTGACAGCCAGCTTTATTAGAGGTTATGTAGCTGGGGTATTTACTTTAAATGTACAGACCATGCTTGCATGCTCTTCTCTATGAATTGAATTATTCTTTCTTGGGTGCGCTTCACCATTGCGCGATTTACATAATAAATAGATATAAAATGAATAAAATACCCGCAATTCTCCTTCTTCATAATACACTCGTTCTTGTAGAACCTGTTGTCTGAACCACAAACGAAGGCTGGAGTGTCGGGACACTCTTCGTGACACAAAGCAGTCGTGCGACAGTGGGACGCGGACACTGCTACCACGTGCTGTCCACAGGTTAGACGACGTAGTTCGCATTCGGATCTGTATTAAACGAATTCGGATTGTAGATGTTTGAAGACTATATTATTTTTCACACGAAAAATATCTTCAATGTTGTAATTTGCAGAGCTTAAGAAATAGTGTTAAAGTTGAGATTCAGTGCGCAAGAGGTGCATGGTGCCTACATAAAACGACGATGACGTGTAACACAAAATAGATCAATTGGTGAGAGCAGCACAGAAGATCGGTTAATTTTACCCACATGTCGTATTTTGTTTTTCTATCGTAATAGTTATTTGTTACATTATTATTATATAGTACTTATATCATATAAATAAATATATTATATTTAAATAATCTATCTAGAACCGGTACATATTTGTATCATAGTTACTTTTATACATTACTTTTATTCGTATTCACTGCGAAGGATTTATAAAAATTCTTCATAAAAATTACCATCATCTTCATGTTTGAGAATTTTAAATTCAAAGCAGTCATAATAGGTGGATAATGATGAAGCTTACTTGTATACATTTCCGTCAGATCCACAAACTGGTTGATCAACGACGTTGTCACAACTATCCGGACAGTCCGTCTCGAGACGTGGAAGAAGGGTGCAGTTGCCGAAATGGGCTAGCTGTACTCCTTTCCTGAAAAAAGACGCAAAGCATTATGTCCAAAATCAAAATAGAGCACATCTTGTTTAGATGTTACATGGCTAGGGTATTTCATCTCATTAAATGAACTCCGTGCTTCCGTTAAGAGATTTATCTTCTAAACTACAATATGGCAATAGAAGGAGTAAATAAAAAATGATATAAGCCATTATCCGCTTACACAGATAATTATCTTTTAATGTATGTTATATGTGTCAGCGTTTTTTCCAATTAGTTAAGCAATTTATATACTATGCCATTTTTAAGATGCTAGTAACTAACAGTCAATAGACATTTTTCATTTTTCATGAATACTATATCCTCTACTGGTAACAAACATCCATCCATAAATGAATAGTCGCAAAGTGTCAATTTGCTGTTGCAATAAGTCGACCGCACATCTTAATAATCTCTGCTATAAAATACTTCTACTTACAAACAGGTAGCCACTTTTAGGTGACAAGGATTGTGGTACACATTGGCGTCGGTTCCACATACAGGATCAGCTTCGTTCGGGCACTTGACTTTGAGACATTTGTTCATTTTCGCTTTGCATTTGTCCATGTCTACTTTCTTTACTATCTTTCTGCTGTTTACTCTGAAGCGAAAATTATTTATTATTAAATACTGTCTATAGTTTACGAGTGTAGCACACATTTAAATAAAACACTTGGTCACGGCTGCTGCAAAGCATCCGAAACGTCGGGCCGAAATTCATCATTTTCAAAGAAGTTTAACTAATACATCGCGCTTGAAACCCTTAAAGTGTTTTATTTAAATATTTATTATTATTTTGAGTCTCCTCGTTGTTAATTAATAATTCTTGTTTTAAATCTGGGAGCATACATATAAAGATATTATATTATATTTGTAGAATGAAACTAGAAAATATAGCGACGTATCATTTACTTAGCAAGGAGGAAAGTTCTTGTGTACGACGAATAAAAAAAATATAATTGCTAACTTTGTATGAGCAATATACAAATAACAGATTCAGAATATTAAAATGACTATAACTAATAGTAATTAAGTAACAACTAACAGTGTTGAACAATTATTTAGAAAGGAATGTGTAGTGAACATTGTTTTTTTTTTCTAGTTTTTTTAAAGGACACACAAGCTCCATGGACATTGGATATTCCGAGAGCATGAACAAAAATATATATACTTACCCGCAATTCAGCATCTTCATTTCGCACTCGTTCCTGTAAATATTTTCATCAGATCCACAAACCAACTTCTCTTTCTGATCGGAACAGTCGGTTGGGCAATATTCACCGCCAGACGTTCTTTCTTGCGATACACAGAACGCCATGGGTACTTCAAACACGTGCTTGCTGGAAATCAATATTTTCTTAGTAAATAGGAAGTAATAATAATATTTTCAGTCTTAAAAGTATCTTAGATGTGACAGGGATTTGTATTCGATATAAAGTAATAACAGTATACAGCCAAATGGTAAAAAAAAGTGAAAGCCCGTTTCCCACTCGTGGGGCACGGGGCGAACACATTTCTGTGTCCGTTTCATTGATCCGTCCTTTTAACGGGCAAGTAGTTGATCAGACTTCTGTGCCCTGCCTGACCGAAACAACTAAGAATTTAAAAGGGTTAAAAACAAAAAAAATAAACTAGGCTGTTAGGCGGTAAGAAATAAGCCAAAACAACTAGTATATAAAATAATAATAAAAATAATGCCTAATTAAACAAAATGTAATTTGATTTTACTTGCTAGAATGTAAGCTATAGACATTGAAAGAAAGTTATGCCTGAAGCAAAATTTCACTCTGTCAACGATATTTCATCGTTAACATACATTCGTGTGCCATTTCGGACAATCCTTTCACAAATCGTGCTTTGTGCCTCCACTCACCCGCAGTTGGTGGCCTTCATTCTGCAAGCGTTGGCGTACAGCTTGCCGTCTGAACCGCAGGTGGGTCTGGCGACGCGCCAACAGGATTCGCGACAGTGGCGAGTCGTTTGACAATGCTTCTTGCTGGTTCGGACTACACCTTGCCTGGAATTTTATGAATATTGCATACAGTTACATGCAGTACGTAGAAATCCTATTCGGGATGTACGGGACTTGTATTACTTGTACTATTGCTGCCTTTTGAGGTATTGTTTTATTTTGTTTCTGTAGCTCCGTTGGCAATATTGATATTAAATATAAATAGATGACATTTTTTTATGTCTATGAAAACATAATAATAATTCGAATTATATTATCTACATAATTAACATAAGCTGGGATATCTATAATATGTTAAATAAAAAAAAATATTATCTACGACTCGGCAATTCAACTTCTTCACCATCCATCACCCCTTCAGCCTCTAGCTGCTAATTGTAGTAAAACTAACTATAGTTGAATATCTATCTATACTAATATAATAAAGCTGAACAGTTATTTTGAACGCGGTAGTCTCAGGTGCTACTGGTTCGAATTAAAAATTACTTCGAGAAAGGCTTTAGGCTATATGATACCAGGCAAAATATCTTTGAGAGATTTCTTTGCGTGCGCTGCAAAAACGGTTCGGGATACCAAAAGAACATGCACAAAATAATTATTCTTCTTTAAATGATATAAAAATGTCGTAATCTTTTAAGATTAACTAGCAAGAATTGCGTTTATGGTAATTAAATTTAGTCGAAATACTTACGTCATATATCTGAATGAATGTTACCTACCCACAAGTAAGGAGCTTCATCTGACAGGTGTTCTTGTAGACGTTGCCGTCAGACCCACAGATGGGACCGTCGAGGGGCGCCTGCGAGCAATCTACGGGACAATTTTCACGATGCGCGCTGATGTTGTTGCAGGCTCCTAAGTGAGAGAGGCCGATTCCTACCCTGTAAATAAGATTTATTAGTAACAAGCTATCTAAGTTTCAGTTAAAACATTGCGTTGAGCGTGATTGTTTTAAGGCGTTGAGAAGCCGTTGATTGAAATGTAGTTAGTAATTTTCCTGGGTTTAAGACACCAACACAAAGTATATAAGGAAGACGTGTTAATCATCTTTAGCTTTCCCAGATAGCTTATGGATTAGAATGGGGAAGAGAGACAAACGAATTAGAATTCTTATTATTACTATAGATACCATACCTGCATATTTCGACTTGAAGCATACATCTATTTAGATAAGTCCTGCCGTTGGTACCGCAAACGGGGTCTCTCTCTGACGTGCATCGGTGGTCACATTTGGATCCTTGCGCTCGAGAGCATGAACCTTGGTCTTGTGCTAACCTTACACCTGAAAAAAATCCAACTTACCTTTACTAAAGAACAGAATAAATAGATGAATTAAGGCATGAAATGTGCTTTTGTTATTGTTGCGTGAACGGTGTTTTGTAAAAGGCTATGTTCAGTAAAATTTAGAAACACATCACATCTTAACACATTTAAATTGTATTGTCTCTTAATTTACAGATACAAATACGAATTAAAAACCTTTCAAGCTGTTGTGTGTCTTTATAGCTGTTATATAATTTTTGCGTGTTGAAGACTTAGTTATAAATGACGGTATTTTGAAGTAAGAGCTAGATGAAAATATTTCCGACTTTCCTTTGATCACACTCTTATTTTAATTAATAGTATAATAAATTCGTAATAATGTTAAGAACGTAAAGTATATGTACACTAGAATTCATTTATCTTAATGTATTCTATACGTGGGAGTCCACAATGAAACCATTTGTCCCGCGCAACTAGTTCTCTTATGATTTATGCACTGTTTGTTTAGCCCGCTATCTGTAATGTTAATGTAATATAAATAATGGTCTTACAATAGTCTGGCCATTTGTTAGAAGTCTGACTTAAGTTAATCTAGGAAAATATTTCAAGGATTTCAAAAATGTAGCTAACAGTAAGCAATAAGTCGATGGAGAACGAACGAAGGGAAACTTTTGGTAGCATAAACTGGATTTGAATTCAATGGTAAAAGTTCCCTATGGTTATTATTGAATAGACGCAAGCTAAACTTTACGATCTTTACCAAGAATCATGTCTATACCAGCTGAACTTCAAAATTCAACTTTAACAATTCTTTGAAACGTCGGGCCGAAGTTAAAAATCATTTTCAAATAAGTTTAACTAATATATCGCGTTTTAAACCGTTAAAGTGTTTTATTTAAATGTAACCTGCACCTATCGCGCAATGTAATTTCAACCTTAAAAACTTGTACGTATCTTAATCTTGTGCACTTTAAATATGTATGTCTAAAATAATCATAAAGAACCGAATACGTTGTTTCTTTACCTTTTCCACAAGTCTTTTTCCTCATTTCGCAAAGTGACGGATAGATATAACCATCCGTGGCACAGACCGGTTCCCCTTGCAGAGCTGGACCACAAATCCGTGGACATGTTGCGTCTCTTGCACCTTCACACCAGGACAGAGCTAGAAGCAAAATAATTGTATATAAGTATATTGTAGCGACAAGAACCACTCCGATTTTCCTAATAGAGATATTGGAGTCTTCAATAAAAAAGTCATGATTCGGAACGCCGCGTTATTATGTTTAAGTTTATTTAAGTACGTACCGTTTTAGAATACAATGTGAGATATTTAATGACAGCCTAAATATACTTGTGTAATATGTATAATAAATTTATCATAATTTTTACTTCAACAAATCTGTATTTAATTGACGAAAGATATGTTTATGAGATTCAAAAACTGAAAAAATATATGTGTGAATACGTAATTATTGTATTTAAACATATTTTTAATTTGATTGCTTAGTTTTTAGTCTGATTGTTTTAAAAAAGCCGATCACAATATTGTGCACAATAAGAAAGCTTTGTCGAAGAAATCTTTAGATAGGTAATTACAAATTCTTAATCGATCTTTCTAGAAACGGTGAACCATAAATAGAGTTTATTGGAAGTGTAAATGTAATACAAAATAAATAGAATAATTGCGTAAAGACACGCAAACCCTTTAGCATAGTATCTAAGTGATAAGAATCACAGTCACAGCACGCATTGTTTGCTTGTGGTCACGAAACGAGCGATTTTCATACTTTTTTTCGGTCACTAGATTTTTACCTGGGATGAAAAGTCTATTAATATTATCACTTCTTTCATTCGTTACGCACACATCACATATATTTCCTGCATTGATATTTAGTGATTACAATTAAAAATACACAAGTAAGGATTTAGGTATAAACTTGGCTAATTTTTTAAACCTATTAAAGCTTAGCTTAGCTTGTCTGTGATGTAGGTACTGGATATTTCATTCTTGCACTGTAATAAGTCAAGAGTAAGTTGGGTTACTTTATGTTATTAAGTACAAAATAAAAATATTAGTATTTAAAATTGATCGTTATAGTAATTTTATAAGAAGGCCTTTAAGGCCAAGGCATTACGAATCTATTTTACGTATGTCGATGAAAGTAAGAACTTTGATTAATTTTCTATTGCACTGGCCAATTTCATGGCCACACATTGAAAGACTACCCTGAGTTTTGTAGACGAGGAAACTCCATTAGTACACTCCAGACGAGGACTAAAACTTTTTTACCACTTTACTGCGAAACACGTTTTTAACTCAACGAATAATTGTTGGTAGGATAATAGTATAAAAACAAATAAAGCAACCGAATGCCGTGTATATATATGTACATATTATATAATTATGAGGCAATAATATGTTTAATGTATATAATTGAATTGCGATTTGAGGTGAAATATATGTTTTGACACCCGGTGTTTTTATTTCATTTAAAAAATACTGTATACTTTAACCAGTAACAGATGAGGTACTGTTTTGAATCATACAAGTTAGTATTTTAAGTTTAAAGATTTTATTCAGAAGTTACAATCAGCGATATGATCTCACAGCTCCTTTTAAGAGACATTACGACTTTCCACGGAAATTGTTCAAGCTTTGAACTTCTTCGTTTTTAACGAGCTCCTTATAAGACATCAGATTACCTTTGATAGCTTCTTATGGCAATTATATCGTAATGGGTTAGATAAAAACATACATGGGGCATCGAACAAATAGACTAGAGATAGAGATAGAGAGTAGCATCACTAAAGAATGCAATTTCAGGAGAATTGTTGATCAGACTTCTCTGTATTGCATTATCGAAAAATTATTCATTATATTTTTGACGTGGCAACATCTTATAATTCGATAAAGCTGCCTGCAGGCACAAAAAAATGACGCATGCGGCGTTACAGCGCTCTGAGGCGTTCCATTTAGAGCTTTAAGTGCAAGAGCGAGCGCGAACGAGTGACAGAGGCACAATCGGCTTAGGCAGAGATCGACATCTGTCTTTTACCTACTTGAGTAAACAAAATACTTCAAATCTATCGAACAAATAAAATTAGTATATATTAAAAAAAATGAAACCATTCCTGTAGTTTCTTATGACAATGTCACGTTTAACTATCGTCCGTAAAGCAAGACCTGTGGCAAACTGTGATGCTAAATTGTAGCAAAATTTTCGTCTGGTTTTGACAACCCTAATGGCTTAAGCTATATTTCTTGCCTACTGTCTGCGAGATGGCTAGTTATAACTTCCCGTTACAAACAATTGTCTATGAAAACGGGAATACCTTTCCGGGTTTGCGTGGAAACTGCTAAGAGCGTCCGATACGATCTTGCTGAAAGTATCTGGCGAATAAATCTGATCATCAGAGGGACATAAATTACTGGCATTGTATCGCGAAATACAGCTAGCACCGTGAAAACACAAGTAAGCGAAAAATTCTATTATAATTATAATAGTCGCGTCTCTCTATATTTCATAATGGGATTATCTATTCAGAAATGGGAATATAAATAATTAGCACAAGGGGACATATATTATATAAAACTAGCTGAACCGGCGTAGGGTTTTTACTATATGATTTGCTATACAACAAACTTTGATTACACTAAAAACGATTCTTGTGAGTTTATTTAAAAAGATGGACGTACACTGTTGCGGATTTTTTTAGATTCTTTTAAGTAACGTTTTCGCAGCACACGCAACGAAATCTTGCAGAAATTAAGAAATTTGCCTGTTATTCCACAGTTTCATATTTCTCGGAGACGAATGTTTTATAGCTTAAAGCCTTCCTTGATAAACGAACCAACCAACACAAAGATTTTAAATTGGAACCAGTAGTTCTTGTCAGATCGTTGTACACTTAGCAAATAACTAACTACCCTACCATGTCATTATTTTTGTTAACGTTGTCGTCTTTTATTTCGACATGAAATTTGATGATTTTTATGTCTATAGAACCTGTATTTTTAAACCTTTAAGTACATAATGTAAAAGGTAAATTTAAGAAGAATTTAATCCATTACAGTTATAAACATTAATGGCTCGACAATTTTTGGCGTGTTTTACGACAAGATAAATGCGGCTGTCACTTTTGATACCGCCGTGTAAATTACGGGATACTTATAAAGCCTGCTGTAAATTTAATTGATGTATTTTAACGGTTTAATTTTACTCGCGTTCTATTTTTATTTTGGGTAAATATTTTGTAGTATTATCTCTGGTGGACGAGAGTATACTTAGTTATAAGCTTTGTTGCGGAAGAAGTGATATAATCTAAAGTAATAGTAGATTTCATGTGGCGGATCTTTTAAAAACGATTATTTTTGTATGTTGTAGAGTATATTTTATTGATTATCTATACTAATATAAAGTTGAAGATATTGTTCGATTCAAATTGAAAAATTATTTTTGTGTTGCTTAAAGAATTTATCAAAGAAGTCCATAAGCTATAAAAGAGCAAAGAAACATAGGGAAATGTGGAAAAAAGGGGAAAATTATATAACTTTCCGGGTTTCTGATGTATACAATGCGAAAACCGATTAACATACCCAAAACATATGTATGAAAGAAGGATCTAAAAGAATGTCCACTACGTGCCTATCTTTTAAAATTAACTTGCAAGAACGACGGGACGCGATCAACGTCGCACGTAACAGCTTAAATATAAAGAGATTCTGCATCTTTGCTTTTGGAGGTTTGCAAAAACAAATGTTGATGCCCAAGCACAACACACAGTAGTTATAAGCATTTTTTAATAGATAGCGAGTTTTATATTCAATAACCTACAATTTTGGAAGGGCTGAAAGCAAGTCTATGTGATATACATCGTGTTAAAAGGAAATCGAAATTATAGTGCATTCTACCTTGAGTATTGAAGAATGCGGTCACATCCCTATCAAAGAAATGACAATTTAAACTAGGTGTTGATTGAAAGGGCAAATGGGTCAAGGGTTAGAGAGATTACAATGGGAGTCATTTATTTTAATTTCTAATCGTAAAAATCTATAATATTCTAGTAGGTTAGTAAGTAAGTAGTAGTGAATATTACCAAAAGATTATATAAGAGTGCGTTGGTGTTATGGTAGCAGTGTATGGTATTAATCAACGGGTCGTGGCTTCGATCCCCACCGGGTCCAACATTTTTCAAATCAATTCATATTTTTGCTGAAGCATGTTGGATTTCGTCTGGAAATCTGAATAATCAGTTGAGTGCTTTCTATGTGGCTAGCATACAAACATACAAGTTCTATACATCGCTGCACCTATGCTGTGCTTTTCCGATCACCAAGTTACTCCATATATGTAGACGAACCTTATGTTGTCGCAACCCATAGCAATCACTTACAGAGTTTTTCACTAGGGGCCTGTTTCGCATCTATTTAAGACCAGAACGGTGACCACACTATTTACCAAGTCCGTCACGAAGTCCAGCACGGGATTACGGTAAATTTGCATGCGAAACGTGTTGTCACTTTCTCTTGAATGAAATAGAAATTGTCGGGTCAACAGTGTTTGTGAAGATCTTGAGATCGCTGCTTGAGCATTAAGGGGCTCGTGAAATGCATCTCAATTGATGTTATCTTTAGGCGTACAAAGTGTGGGTTTTCCGAGAACCGAATGACCAAGTTTGAAAACAGTGTAATCCCGTTCCGCCTTTGGCGTCGGGCAGACACACTTTCCGTGTCTGTTTCATTAACAGATTATATTTAAGTAAATATTAAAGTATTGTCGTAGATTACACGAGTAGTAGAACGTTTAAAAATATAGCAATCATAATGGTTTGTAGCTATCGTGGTCACGGGGGGATTGAAAAGAGATCCCTAATGTCAAAGCCAAATAGGTACTTTAGCACTTTCTGTTTTGCTGTTTATAATAAATAAATAAGTTGACCAACTTACTTCGTGTGTTAAACCGTTAAAAATTTAAAGGCAAATATTTAATAGACCTAGACTATTCGAACTATCGCACCACCACGGTTGTAGCCATGTTTCTTAATTATTATGTGTTATAACCATTCTACAGATTTTCTCCGAAACTGCAGAAAGCAGTATTACTTAGACGGCGGGTTTATTTCTTTGCATGGTTAATATAATTTAAACTGTTCTTTACCGAG